TAAACTGTAGGGGATAAAATGTGTGGCAAAACGAGAACTGGGTCGGACATTCGGGTTCGTGTTGGAGTTCAGCATAGGCTTACCATTTTATATAGAACTTGAATAATGTAAGTAATATCTGCGACGAATACATTAGCATATTTCAGTAATTTTCAAAACAAAAAAGGTTTTCAGTTTAGAATTTTCCGATCCGGTCTTGATTTTCCTAACACGGCCATTTTAAACACAAGTTGTTGCAGATGCAAATGTTAGAACAAACTATATATAGTTCAACAGGGATTGTATAATTTTTATTAATCAGAATTCGTATTCATATGATCTAATTAAGAAAAGAAAAGTTTTGTCTGCCATCGTAACTTCTCGGCAAAACAAAACGTGTTCCTCCGAGCTCGCTGGATGCGTTTAACAGCTCCATCGCACGTGTGTAGATCAAGGCTAATGTTGGTCTTGCGGACACAGGTTCATGTAGGCCTATGTGTACCGTTTGTTAGGAGACTGGGTGACCTCACCATGCTCACGAAATTTACACCAGTTCCATAACTAGGCCCTAGACATTGCAGTTTTTTTATTAACGTCATTATAAACACTTATAAGCATATTAAATCTAAAAGTCGAATATCTTTGGATATGGGGTAACCCATATCTATTCTTGTATAGGTTTATTTCTTGTGACAATTAAGACCTTTTATTTGGGTACCATTAATTTTTACCTGAAATCGCTTGACCTAGGATACACATTTTTACAAGAAAAATACCAAACTTTAAACTTGGCCTAAATTTTGATCAATAGGTGCTAGGGCTATCATGCTTAACATGTGTATTCATTGTGAACTGTCAACAATTATAAATATGTTTGACCTTGACCCTAGAGTTTGAACCACTTAAAAAAAAATTAACCTTGGCAATTAACTTTTGAACAGGAATTACTAGGGATATCTTTATTTCACATGTGCATTCCTTGTGACAAGACTTTCTTCTGATACTAACAATTTGAACCCTTTGACCTTGAACTTTGAGTTTGACATATATTTGAGAAACTTCAACCTTCGCCATAGGCTTCCATACAGGGACATCAGTGTTTCACAAACACATCTTGTCTTCATTATTATTTGGTGGTGTCTCCATATGAGGGAAAAATTCCCAAGAGAGATGTATTCACAACAAACAAACAAATTACTAAAGAAAATATAAAACATGAATATGTTGGTCATGCATATCTCTGCATGAAAAAAAACAGCTTTTCAAATACTGCAACCATATTCTAACCCTTTCAAAACACTCATTTGAGCTTTTCTGGTTTCCTTAACATGTAACGTCTGTCGTGACGTGTCGTCCATCTGTTTGTCTGAAAACTTTTTACATTTTTAACTTCTCTAGAACCACTGGGCCAATTTTACCCAATTCATATAGAAATATGTATATTTGTATGTCAGACTGTCCATCTGTCTCAATAAATTTAACCTTGGTCATCATGGTCATATCTACTGAATATTAAACTTATGTATTAGTATTTACCTGTGAGAATGGCATGGTTTTTTATGCGCCCGGATCAATAGATCCCGGGCGTATATTGTTTTTGTCCTGTCTGTTTGTCTTTTTGTCTGTTTGTCTGTTTATCTGTTTGTCTGTCTGTCTGTTGTCAACTTTAACCTTGGCCATAACTTTTGAACAATAAGAGATAGAGACTTCATATTTGGTATGCATACTCCAGTAATAAAGTCCTTTCAAATGACATCAAGGTCAATGACCTTGTGACCTTGACTGTGACCTATATGCTAAAAATAGCTTTTTCCACTGTTTGTCATAACTTTTTAACCATAGGAGATAGGGACTTCATATTTGGTATGCCTACTCCACTAATAGAATCCTTTCAAACAACATCAAGGTCAATGATCTTGCAACCTTGACTGTGACCTATATGCTAAAAATAGCTTTTTACACTTTTTGCCATAACTTTTTAACCATAGGAGATAGGAACTTTATATTTGGTATGCATACGATATTGATAAAGTCCTTTCAAACGACGGCAAGGTCAATGATCTTGTGATCTTGACTGTGACATATATGCTAAAAATAGCTCTTTACACTTTTTGGCATAACTTTTGAACCATAGGAGATAGGGACTTCATATTTAGTATGCATACTCCATTGATTAAGTTCTTTTGAATGACACCATGGTCAATGACCTTGTGACCTTGACTGTGATCAATATGCTAAAAATAGATTTTTTGAACTTTGTTGCCGCCGGGCGCATAGTGTTTCACAAACAAATCTTGTTTTTTTTTACCTGTGACCTAGAAGTTTGACCTACTTGCAAAAAAATTAAATTATTATAAATTCATCATTTTGAAGGAGAAAAGTTAGGGCATTCATATCATAATGCATGTATATTATTACCTGTGATAAGACCTTTCCAAATAAATCATGATTTTTACTCTGTGACCTTGACCTTGAAGAGGTCAAGCCTCTACTTTTCAAAAATGTTGCATTTGCTTATAACTTTTGATTGAGATGAGATATGACTCTCACATTTGACCTATACATTAATTACTCATAAGAATTCAAGGTGTTTCCCAGCATGTGATGCTTTTTTTTACCCCTTGACGTTGATGTTTTACATAATTTTCAAAATATTTAACTCTCCTAAAAGATGATTAGGCTTCTGAGTAACATTAAGGAAGACTTCAGGGAAGACAGGGCTTTTTGCACAAAAAACGTCATTTTTCGACCCATATTTGACCCCCCAGGGCAAAATCTAATTCCAAAACCTTACTGCACATCTACCTGACACCACCAACCATCTCCCAACAGATGATTAGGCTACTGTGTAAAATGTAGGAGAAGTTCAGGGAAGACGGGGCTTTTTGCATAAAAAATGTCATTTTTTGACCCCCATTTGACCCCCCAGGGCAAAATAAAAATTCCGAAACCTTACTGCACATCTACATGACCCCACCAACCATCTCTCAAAAGATGAATAGGCTGCTGAGTAAAATGTAAGAGGAGTTCAGGGAAAACGGGGCTTTTTGTATAAAAAATGTTATTTTTCCATCCCAATTTGACCCCCCGGGGCAAAATCTAAATTCAGAAACCTTACTGCACATCTACATGACACCACAAACCATCTCCCAAAAGATGATTAGGCTACTGTGTAAAATGTAGAAGGAGTTCAGGGAAGACGGGGCTTTTTGCATAAAAAACATCATTTTTCGACCCCCATTTGACCCCCCGGGGCAAAATCAAAATTCCAAATCCTTACTGCACATCTACGTGACAACACCAATCATCCCCCAAAAGATGATAAGGCTGCTGAGTAAAATGTAAGAGGAGTTCAGGGAAGATGGGGCTTTTTGCATAAAAAACGTCATTTTTCGACCCCCATTTGACCCCCTGGGGCAAAATCAAAATTCCGAAACCTTACTGCACATCTACATGACACCACCTCATCATCCAAAAGGTGATTAGGCTGCTGAGTAAAATGTAGAAGGAGTTCAGGGAAGACGGGACTTTTTGCACAAAAATCGTCATTTTTCAACCTCCATTTGACCCCCCGGGGCAAAATCTAAATTCCGAAACCTTACTGCATATCTACATGACACCACCAACCATCTCCCAAAAGATGATTAGGCTACTGTGTAAAATGTAGAAGGAGTTCAGGGAAGACAGGGCTTTTTGCATAAAAAAACATCATTTTTCTACTTCCTTTTGACCCCCTGGGGCAAAATCAAAATTCCGAAACCTTACTGCACATCTACATGTACGTGACAACACCAATCATCCCCCAAAAAATGATAAGGCTGCTGAGTAAAATGTAAGAGAAGTTCAGAGAAGACGGGGCTTTTAGCAAAAAAAACGTCATTTTTCGACCCCCATTTGACCCCCAGGGCAAAATCAAAATTCCAAAACCTTATTGCACATCTACATGACCTAACCAACCATCTCCCAAAAGATGATTAGGCTACTGTGTAAAATGTAGAAGGAGTTCAGGGAAGACGGGGCTTTTTGCATAAAAAACATCATTTTTCGACCCCCATTTGACCCCCCGGGGCAAAATCAAAATTCCGAAACCTTACTGCACATCTACATGACACCACCAATCATCCCCCAAAAGATGATAAGGCTGCTGAGTAAAATGTAAGAGGAGTTCAGGGAAGATGGGGCTTTTTGCATAAAAAACGTCATTTTTCGACCCCTATTTGACCCCCTGGGGCAAAATCAAAATTCCGAAACCTTACTGCACATCTACATGACACCACCAATCATCCCCCAAAAGGTGATTAGGCTGCTGAGGAAAATGTAGAAGGAGTTCAGGGAAGACGGGACTTTTTGCACAAAAAACGTCATTTTTCGACCCCCATTTGACCCCCCGGGGCAAAATCAAAATTCCGAAACCTTACTGCACATCTACATGACCCCACCAACCATCTCCCAAAAGATGATTAAGCTACTGTTAAAAATGTAGGAGGAGTTCAGGGAAGAAAAGTGTGACAGACGGACGGACGGACGGACGGACGGACGGACATGAGTAACAACAATATACCCGAACTTTCTTTAGAAAGTGCGGGTATAAAAATATGACAACACTTTATTGATGTAGGAAGGAGGAAGTATATACATTATATACCACTTGAGCATTCTTCTAAACAATAAGTGTTTATTAAGAAAGTTAGCTCCGTCATTGTGTTTGTAATGAAAATTAATATGTTTACTCGAAGGGTGACATCAACAGCCATTGGACTTATAACGTGATTTTTATCACTGATGTGTAGTTGGATCGAGAAAATTCATATAAACACCGGTATAAATTGCTTTCGTGAAGATTTATATATATGTTTTAATGTATGCTGTTTGAGGTATGGGAAATCTTAATATATTTTTAAAGATTTTTTAAGTTGTTGCAATGTATTTGGCTTCAATACAATATGTCTTCAAAAACACAGTCCATCTGCAAGTGATAAACGTATTCTTTTCATTTCAATTATTTGCTTGTACTTTGTACTATGTCCGCAGTAAATGCAGGAAGCCAATATTTTCCAGGACCAAAACAAGACATGGACGTGGTTCGTTGTGATGGATGCTCCAATCAGGTTGATATCTACTGCCGAAGTTGCGACGCCAAGTTTTGTGGAGAATGCGCAGGCAAACATCTTACGAGCTACCTTTCCAAAGTCCATGATATCGTTCCCTACGCCGAGCGGTATGTCAAACCTATCGCTCCACGCTGTACTTGTCAAGAAAAAATGGAGTGTATTATGTTCTGCCAGATGTGTAATTGTCCTATATGCGGGAAATGTCTTCTGGGTCCACATCAGCAACATGCTGTATCGGACCTCTCTGAAATATGCGAAAGTCAGCGTCAAATTATCCAAAAGGAAACCTGCTATCTGGAGAGTTCTTTTCGAGAAACGTTGACAAAATTGATGTGCGAGTTGCAGGAAAAGAAAAATAAAGTGCCTCAACAGTATGACCCATTGCTAAAGAAAATACAGCATCACGGCAAGAAATGGCATGAAGTTGTAGATTGCGTTATTAGCCGCCATATTGATGACGTAGATAAGATCAAGCAACGTCATTTGTCATCCATTGATGATACCATTGTAACACTCAAGGGGCTTCTAGTCAGAACTGAGAACGTTCTGACAGACAATCTGAGAATCTTGAAGAATAACAAAGCAGAAGAAATTCTGAAATATGAAAGGGGCCTTGGGGAATTTAAGAAAATTCCAGAGTATACTGAATTCGAAATTCCTCAGTTTACACTCAGGCCAGTCAAGGTTGAAGATATTTTTACAAAGTTTGGGTTTCTGACTCCTGAACCTAAAAATCAAGACAGAAATGTCTTCGTTCCTGCAGAGGTAAAGCAAACATTCGAAACAATTAAAAGTGGCTTCCCTTCAGACAATCTGGTAGCATGCGTCTCAAAGGAAGAAGTTTGGATCACTGGTAAAGATAAAATAATGAAGCGTTTTGACAGCCAAAATACTCTTTTAGAGACAGTTGATACGTTAACGGGAAATTGGCCCTGCGATGTATGTTTGACCAAACATGGAGATCTTTTGTATAGCGACTGGAACGATAGGAGTGTGAATCTTGTAAATGGCGGGAAAATTAAAAGAATTGTTGCACTGGACGGGTGGAAACCTTCAGGAATTTGTCCCTCGTGTGTTGGCGAACTTCTGGTGTGCATGCAGAGTCATAATGAGCACGAAAGCAAGGTTGTTCGATTCTCGAAGTCCGTTGTAATACAGGAAATACAGTACGATAGCAATGGGAAGCCTCTTTATAGCAGTGGCGGTTACACGATGTTTATAGCTGAAAATAGAAACTTGGACGTCTGCGTGAGTGACTTTCGAGCACGTCAGGTTATAGTGGTGAGTAAGTGGGGCAAACTTCGCTTCAAGTATGACGGAAAAATCAGCTCAGAACGGGCTTTCTCACCATATGCCACTGACACAGACAAGATGTCGAGGATATTTATAGTGGACAGCGGAAGTCGTTGTATCCACGTGATTGATGCCGACGGCCATTTTCTCGCCTTCATTCCAGCATGCGGGAATATTGAACCGCTTGGACTGAGCATGAAGGATGGCGTTATGTTCGTTGGAAGTGGCAATAGTGACATTGTTAACTGTATGAAGTACAATAATTACATATAAGTCAAGGAATTCATGTCTCAAATGTTTTCCTAGTAATAAAGGCGAAATAATTTTAACTGTGGAAAGACTTTAAATAGAGACAAAGTATACTGTGTAACCTTTTAAGGTTCAGTGACCCTTTGATAAGAGCAACAACTCTCACTTTGACTTGATCCTACGTAAAATTTGACCTGTCTTTCATGATCAGTTTTCTTCCTTCGATAATACTGTATACAGGGTTATTTTCGCCCGGTGTTATTTTCGCCCTTTAACATTTGCTTACAAATTTGCCCCGTTTTAAATTCGCCCAGTCCCAGTTCTCTTTAAGAATTTATACAGTGTTCTTTCAATTCGCCCCATTTTAAATTCGCCCTATTGAGGGTAGGGCGAAAGGGGCGAAAATAAAACGGGGGCGAAAATTTCCCTGTATACAGTAAATCTTAGTCGTATAAAAAAGAAAAGTGATGAGTATTGAGTATAGTGTTGATTTTTGAAAACAATTTTAAGCTATAGTCAATATTCAGTTTGATATCCTTGATATCTTGATTAAACCTTTATTTTATTCGGTTATTAGACACTCATTTTTCGAACTAAGATTGAAACTGCCAAGACAGTGTATTCAGTAAAGATTTTTTGTAGTAATGGAAGCATTAGTAGTAAAGTAACGTTAAAACCCAACGGATCTGTGAAGTTTTCCGGGGATGAATGCCATAAAATCAAACCTACCAAAGACCATTGTAAATTTCGTCATTTCCATCCAAACTCTTCTTAGATAAGTCAACGTTTGGCAATGAAATGCACCCGGTTCTGAAAAATATATAAACAATACGTGGGGAATGTGTAGATCTGAAATCAACTCAAGGCAATATGAATTCGAAGGAAATTCTGCTCACACTGAGTTTTACAATGCATGATGTTTCCAACCAAATTTTACAATGTTAGTACATTCAAGAGCAGCTAAGATTTTTTGTCATACTTGTTTATAATGTGTTTTCCCGAAAGCATATTTTTATTTTCAAATCCATATTTTTAAATCCAGTAGAAAGGGAAAACACTTGAGCTCCTCGATTGGATGGCTCTTAGCTCGCATACTATCCTCAAACCTCAATGGTGTTCTACCATCTTGTGGTTCAGCCATGTGAACTTAATTATTTAAATTTCATTCATTTAGATTAAAAGAAAACTTTAGAGAGCCTGGATATCGAATATCTGAAGCATAACATTGTTACCAACATCTGAAGCATAACTACTCAGAGTACTCAAAATTTGAGGGCGAGTAGTACCGAGAGATAGATAGGTAGATAATCCTCCCTCATGTCCATGTTTTTCTTCACCCTATACTACAGTAACTTATAGTCCTGCTGGACACATTATTACTGGTGACGTAAATAAAGTTGACACAGAGGACCTTAGATCACTAATCTTAAAAGGTCTTGATATAGGGAACCCCGATCCTTCAACTGGCGTTGGAATTGAATTTCTGATTGACAATATCTACTGAGTATTTGGTTTTTGGAGACCAGGTCTTCCAACAGTCTATTCGAATTCCCATGGGTACCAATTGTGCCCCGTTATTAGCAGACCTATTTTTGTATTCATATGAAGCACATTTTATACTGCTGAAAATTAGATATCGTAAGGTTTACACCTCCTACCCCCTAACGACCTCGATTCTCCAGGATTCATGCCAGAAAAAAACATCATTAAGCTCAACTTAACGAATATTATCTATAGGTAATGCAAATCTCACATAATTGTTTTCTTTAGTTGGAGTGTGCATCTCGAGATATATTTATGCAAGTTTACTAGTAGTTTGAGTAGTTACTTGGGAATTGACCTACTCCAAGAAATTTAACCTATTCCATCATCAAACTGAGACGAGCTCACTTTTCATCTTATTCTCACTTTTAACAAAAGAATCAGAATAGTAGAAAAGTGAGACTGAGATCAAATGTGAGCTTGGCAAATTAAAGTTTATTTTCTCGAAGCCAGAACCAAAATCTAAAGCCTCTTTATTAGTAGTGTCCTTCTCTAGATCCTCATTCATTCCTTGCAAGTTTGGACTCACTAGTTACACTGGAAACGGACCTGCTGCTATATAGGTATATGAACTTATCTAACGAGGACGCCAAAGCCGGGAGTATAGCCATCGTCTCAAGCCACGGTCCGGAGTCCGATCATAGCTCTCTCCCAAGGAGAGGATCGTACATTTTGGCCGTGCTATAGCACTAGCTCATCTCTTTTGGTCGAGGAAAGTTCAAAATCATAGGACAATTCTCAGTTAAGCTTGGACTTTCAGAAAGACGTGGCATTCTCGGCGCTATGTAATTAGCAACTGTCAATGTGGCGAATAGACTCTCAATGGTTAAGAAATTAAGATGTTTCCATCTTCACAATTTTAATGGTTCAAAGTACAAAAACAATAATTGATTAAATAAAGAAAATATGCATTTAAAAAATTCTTTTACTAAACAATATTTATCATTACACCTATTGTAAAGCATTCTTCCAAAAGATATTGTTCAATTAGGTATGAATTTAAACCAATTACAGTTTTTGCAAAAACCTATGACATCATAGGAGGGTGGAATTACCTTAATAACATCAGGGACTTGTTGACAATGATGAAACGACTTTATCCCCGCCTCTGTGTCGTGTGAGAACTTGTTATTGGCTATTTGCTACACTAGTTGACATTTGGCCGAATTTCTATCCTACATGTATGTATATTTCAACGGTGATGGAAAGCTGCGTAAATTTCAGAAGCTAACTATGTAACGTCGAGAATGCCACGTCTTACTGAAAGTCCAAGCTTAACTGAGAATTGTAATATTTTTTTTTTCGTTTTAAAGACAACTATATTGGTTCTTTTTATATCATAAAATAACTGATTACATATGTAGACATATAATTTACATATATTCTTTGCTATATTTTTCATGATGAATAGCAATTACACATGTATTATAATAGACATGTACGTTCTTTTTTAAGTCTGCATGATCGATTGATATTAATTCATATCTTCAAATAATTAATTTGTTAATAAAGTTAGTAAAGTTAAACTTCGTATATGTCAGTAGAATTACATTAAAATTCGAAGAAAAATGAATTCTCGGAAAGTATGGCATTAAAATTAGCCATGTATAAAAAAACAACTTACAGTAATTGTCCTGTGTAGGCCGGGGGGAAGGGGCATATTTCTATGTAAAATTTCCCTTTATATGCTTGTTCATTCCCCCTCCTCCTTGGACGGTTCACCCATCTACTTTTGAATCCATTGCTACGGACCTGCTGAGAACTAAAAATATATCTGACAACCAAAAAATAAATGTATTCAGAAAATGAAACCTAAATGGTGACCGATAATCTCAATGGCCAAGAACATTTATATGTGAAGGATCTTACACTGAAAGACATCTGTTTAGGGACAGATGAAACAAACAAACTTTTGTCATCAAAACTGAAAATAACAACCTGTGTCATAATTCAATGAGTAAATGAAAACCGTAGTTTTTAATTTTGTTCAACAGTATAGTTTTTAATTTTTTATTCAAAGTTTGACAGAAATGGAAATTGAAGTGAAAAATATTTGTATACATCAATAAGGATGGCTGCAGAAAGGTAGAATTTGAACATCATAGAAGGTTTACAATTTCCTAATATTTTGATAATTCATTAGTTGCAAAATGGGCCCAGAAATGTATACCAATCCAGGCATCCATTTTTTTGGTATCATCTCTCTCATGCGCGGATCTAGAGGGGTGGGGGGGTGGGTCCTGACCCCCCCCGTGGAATTTGCAAGGTTAAAAAAATTTATAATTATACTAAAGCAAGAAAAAGGTTACCTTGGACCCCCAAGAAATAGTTTTTTGAAGTTTGGGTGAGTTTACCTTTTCTTACTTTTTTTTTTTTTTTTTTTTTTTTTTTGCTTGTCAAGAAATTTCTGTGTTGGATTTTTTTTAAACTGGGTTACCCCCCCCCCCCGGAAAAAATTTCTGGATCCACCCCTGCATCTTGTCTTCAACCAATCGAAAAGATATTCAGTGGAGTTGTTGTTTTTTTTTTTTAAACTGAAAATGATATGAGGATAATAAACCTATTAAAATTAAATTAATTTTGTCTCGACATAACTGGAAATTTAGTTTTAATAGCATATTAGGCCTTTCTAGCTCTTTCTGTCAGTAGTTCTGCTGAGAATTTCATTATTCCATCAGTTTTAAACACAAGTCCTACAACAGTGTATAATGTGCAAATTTATACTGATTTGTTATTTCTATATGATTGTAGTAAAAAACAAAATATTACCCATTTTCATCATCTGTACTTTGAGGAAAAATTGTAATGACATTTGTTTTTTCCAAGTTCACTAATAATCGCCATTCATTACAATATTTCGTTTAAATTATTATTTTTTAAATTCAGTATATTTTTAAAACTTCATCTTGAGTGAACTCATAATCTAATGGACTGGATTCTAGATTTGTAATAAATTAGGATGAAAAATTTTTGTCAAAAGGAAAGATGGAATGTTTTTTTTTTTATCAAAAATGCTAAATATTCATAATTGTTTTCTGAAGTTTAAAAAAGTTTTGAGACGGGTCATTTTTAGACAGTTGGTCGGGAGAAATATTTATCAAAGATAAACTTGCTTCAGTAATGCTTACGTTTTTTGAAAAGTTAAGAAAAACGGTCGGGCTTGGTATCCTTACCGGAAGAGAAAATTACGCCATTGTTCAGTGTCATGAGAAAAACCAAAGGAGAAAGTTTAGAAGTAATTTGGGTTTACATACAAAATGGGGGGTTCTAATGACAGTGGATCACAAAAAGAAGAAGGAGAATTATCTGATGATGACAACGAACCCGAAAATAATGAGAACCACCAAAATCTGAACCAAAGAAATTTGAATGGGAATACGTTTGTGGAACCCAACGTCAGAGCTCGTCACACCAGGATAAACACTGTGTGGCAGAACTTATCGTACAGACTACCGCCACCACCAAATTTTGTTCCAAATTATCAGACGAAAGCGCCTTCAACATGGGACTACAATCATGGAATGGGGCCATTGAGATACGACAGAATTCGACCCATGGCGACACCACCTCCACCCCAGAAATGGGAACAGAGGAGCCACATTTCACGACTTCCAAACAATCGACCACTCCTCCCTTCTCCCACCCCTCTAATGCGACATCATACAAATCCAACCGGACATAAAAATCATCCAATTCAACAAAATAACAGATACTGTATCCTTTACTTTTTTGTGCCATGTTTGAATAGCAATTTTTAGAAGGTTCATAATGCGGCTTTTGATTCTTCTTCCATACATATTGCATCTATGAGAACGTTATACTCGGAATTCAGTTCAGTAAGTCCAAACGAATTCTGATGTTTGAAACTGTCTTAGCATTTAGTCCAGATGTCATGTGTATGTTTTATTACCAAATCAAAGTCTGAACACTATGAATATAATTCTATTCATGCAGATATGCTTAATCTACTATTTATCTGCTATATATCTGTTAAAGTATAGGGCCATTAGGGGTGTTTATTTCTTTCTTGGAATGCCTTGTTACTTCGAGAAAGTAGCTTGCAGCGAGATTCATTTCGCTATGGATTATGGGACCAAAGGTAACTGCGGAAAATTGTTTGGATCAATGTGCAAAGTCCAAATTTTCTCTTTGCCCAGGCGTTTTTTAAGAGCTAGCAGTGGTGAGCTTTATACTACTTGCTGCGCTCACTATAAAAACTGAAATCATCAGGTATAGGACATAAATCAGTTTTCAAAACATGTATTGCCAATGTATATATTTGTGAATTCATACCCAGAGCTGTCACAGTACCTTTTGGTACAGGGACCGGGTCCCTCTATATTGCGAAAAATCCTCGACATTTTTGTCAAATTGGGGAAATTTTAAACATACTTTCATGTATTAACACCCCCCCCCTACAGCCAAGCAAAATATTTAATCATGAAAGCCATTTATCACTTTGAAAAGTATACTTGAAAAGCTAAAATTTACAGGACATAAGTCAGAAGGTCTGATAAAATCTATATTTAACAGACCAATCATTTACTTACTAAACAGGCATTTTTTTTTTTGTTTCATATGATACAGAGACTGAAAAATGTGGGGAGGGGGTATTTCTTACTGTTTAATTGCATCTTAAATAAATCAAAAATTTAGATTATAAAGAATAACTGTATTGAAATTATCAAGTTACTATTTAAAATTTTCCTTTTAATGGTAATTGCCTAGATCTACAATTTCTTTCTTTTTTTCATGTCATTTAACACATGCAAATGAAATAGATAGTATCCAAGATTTTATTTTAACTTATAATTCACTTTAAAATAAACTAATTTATTTTATGAACTAACTCATAATGTTTATCCTTGTTTAATAATGAAAATAAGTTCCCCAACCCAATTTACATATGACTTATCTATAGATCTCTATTCCATGACAGAGGAAATTCGAATTAGAAATAAACGATCATGACAGGGTTGTTGCAGATTAAAATTAATCATGCATTACTGCTAAATGGATCAAATAAAGGATGTATGTGTGGAAAATTAGGTGATATAAACAAGAAAACACGTTTTTGGGAATTCTTAAGTATGAAATTGGGAAAATCTAGCACTTTGTGCCATTGGGAATTGGTCCGATATTTGGTCCAAATTTGAGGGCAGTGACGGCCCTGATTCCATTTCAATTCAAGTTCAAATTGTCTGTACTCTTTCAAATGTATAATTATTTTTCCTCAAGTAGTCAAGACTAGAAGAATTTGTAATTTTTGTCCAAAACTTCCTTAAGTCATTTTGTATCAGTAAATGATAGGAGAAAACAGTACCCTAACCAAGAAGTACAGAAAGACTCCCTGTTTGATGAAGTAGATGTAGAAGGGGGCACAGATAATTATGAGGGGCTTCTAAAGAAGTACATGGACATCAAAGAGAAGTTAGCAGATCTCCAGACACAGGAGAAAACAGCAACAGAGCATACTGAGAAAACTACAGAAGAGCCAATAAAAGTAACAGTAACTCAGGAGAAAGCCGAAAAAACAAAATCCACTGCCCCCCTACCCCCAAACAAGAAATTCACTCCCAGGAAACCAGAGAAGAAAGTTGTTGTTGACATCACTGGAGATGTGGCTAAAGAAAAGGTGTGTTGTAATTTTTTTTAATTTCATATTCTTAATGGTGAGAATGTAGTGGGTGCAGTATGATATACTAAAAGCCATTTCAGCTAGTTTTTGACTCGCAGTCATTTTTTGTACATGTATGTTATTTATAATGGCAGTATTATAAATATCAATGTTCTAAAAGCAGTTTATAAATAATAAATTTAAACAATAAAATGTTATCTTTGGTTGTTAGTACGTTATGGGAATTAATGTCGCACCTGTTGCAAAAAACAATTTCTGCAACAGCTTTGACATTCATTCCCGTACTAACAACCAAAGAAAGACATTTTATTGTTTATATCTATATGTAAATAATCATTTAAAGTAGGATTTAAAAGATTAATTAATGTATTGATATGTACGTCATCATACATTTCATTGATGGAACAGCCACTGATCAAGAAATCTGTACAGGTGATATGTCTAGTGTTGTTCATGAACGGATAAACTTAAATGGTTTTCTTAAGAAATAAAGGAGAAAATATTCAGTGGATGTAAATATAAAGTAATAATGACCTTGCTAGTACTTATCTTGGAAATATAAACTTAGCAATTTTATGATTTTCAGTGAATGAACATTTACAGTTATCTAATTACTTTGGGCTTGATTAATGTTTATCTATTAGTTAAGTATACAAAAAAATAAAATAAAACCCATTGTGATTCCTGTAGTCAAAGTTCTTATACCTGCATATGTGAGTTTTCCATGTTTTCAAGACATAGTTTATATATGTTTGTAACCTTTAGTATTCATGAAGTGTTAAAATAGTAAATAGTTATGGGAAAGTTTCAAAGTGTATTATGAGTTGAAATCCATGCATTGATTGCAATTGTTTGGTAAAGAAGGAATTTGTTGGTTTTTGTTTTCTTGTTTTTATGATGCATGATACAGATTGATGGTTTAAAGTGGTTCTATTTTTTATTTTAGATAAAATAAGGAGAAAAAAATCTTCTTTACATTTAGTTTAAACTCTCATGGCATGCACAGATAGGACGTAAATTGATTCCTTAAGAAATGATATAGGAAGATAGATAATATACAGTATTATTTCTTGCATGTGGATTTCTACTTGATTCTTTTTTCCTTGCTGATTTTCTCATGACTGTCTTTAATTCTGCCACTTTTTGACTTAAGGTTATAAGAGTTTTTCCTGGGTTTTGGCGTAAGCAAGTCAAAGATGGCTGCATTCAAGAAGTGCAGGTAAAGTCATATGTTGTTGGATGTTGCACAGAATTTGTTGGATTAATCACTTCTCAAAATATCCAACCACAAAAGGAAGAACTTTAGCATGTTTAACAATGACAGAATTCTATTTTTAGTATTTTTGTAGTTTCTAAATGAATGAATAAAGTAGTAAATGTAGTAGTAAGGGTTATGACTCACAAAATATATCTTAAGAATTCCTTTAAAAAAAATAATTATTAAAAAAATTAAATGCTTCATGAAACTAAAAGTTAGATTTAGATGTATGTACAACTTTTCTCCCTAACTCCCATGCAAATTCAATGGTTATTTTGAAAGTTACAATATTAAACAGGTCGAGACCACTAGATTTTCTGACGTTGGCATAAATTTGCATGTAAATAAGCTATCTGTTTACTTTACCTACGGCTGAATGAGCCGCAATGCATTGTGGGCTACTACATTTACCCAGCTGTGTTGAAAATAAAGGGCAACTTTAATTGTCCCTTGGAAACTTATTTTCAATTCTTTTTTGAGATTTGTGAAAGAAATATTTAGACTGATGTATAATCTGTCATTTCTATGCTCACATTTACAAAATTTGCTTTATGAAGCCTTATATCAACTTATAATACATTGGCCTAAACATTGTTCAAAGAGACGTGGAATTATGCTATTGTTCTGATAAAACATTGAGTTTTTTTCACGTGATATACATGTACATAGTTTAAGCAGATAGTATATAGGTCCTTGGTTTTAGACAGCAGGAGAAGGTGTGCAATTATTATTTAACCCCTCAATATATTATCAGAAAATGTTTTATGTACATGCAAACGTCAAAGCGTTTGTACGGTATTCGAAGCATCTATAAATCATCTAAAACAACTTCAATATTAAATGTGAGCATGGAGCAATGTCTTTAGAATATAATCTTTCAATTTCGGTCTTATAAAGTGATAAAGAAGCTCTACATGTTTTCCGGTGACGGGTTAAATAATGTGCAGTAAACCGACAAAAACCACTTGTCGCCATTGAATCGGAAACATGTAGTAGAGTGTCATTCTTTGGGACTCATTCACTTGATTGGAGAACGGGTGTGACGAAGACATCGTCACGTGTTGAAAATTGCTTTCCATATAAGGTAGTGGTCTCGACCTGTTAAATGCCAATTAAAAAAAATCAATAGGAAAGGAAGAAAAAGAGTGAAAGTAATTCTTAAGTCTATAATATTTCACATAATAATCATATTGCGAGGGTTGTCCGTAAAGTTCGTGGACAACATTGAAAATTACTGACAAACATTGATAAAATATAAAGAAACTATTATTTTCATTAAATTCATGTTTTGTTTTATTAACATGCAACTTTTCAACAAAAACAAAGCACAAATAGTTATATTTTTAATAGATTAAAAAAAGACAAACTCTCATACCCGGAGCATTAAAATGATAATTCTCGACGTTACCCGACGTCAAAAGCATAAAGAGTACATGTAACTTTTCTCAACATAGTCACCGTTTAACTCAATATATTTCTTATGCCACTTTAACCACTCATAAATATGTGTACAAAATGTTCAGGTTTCACACGTAAAATAATATTTAACAATGCCTGTCTCATATCGTGTAATCATCTAACCTCTGTCCAAGTAAAAAATGATTTTATTTGCGGAAATACAGTAAAGTCACGTTATGAAAGTCATTTTTACAGCACTGCAATTTCGAGATGATGGTTTTCCTTCACGCATGTAATCCTATAAACTGTTCCTTCCGTCTGAAAATATTATATGTCACTTAAATAATAATGCACGGCTTCTTTTACTATGTTTTCCCGATTGTTTACAAAATGTATTGGTCTAGGTGTTTATCCGATGTCTACGCAGAATTTTGTCACTGCTCACTGCTCCACCTATTCCAAAAAGGTCCCTTTTTTGGAACAATTCCGATCCATCTTAATAAGTTCTAACTTTGATTGCGCAGCCATTTTACAACCTTAAACGTTCAAATTTTGCATGTTTGACGTGATAGCTTTTGTCAACCTCATAATGTAAAAGTCATCCAGATTTCTGCAGAATTTTATGAAATACAAATGAAATTTATAAAGTGATACATAATTTTTTAATTAAAATTTTGCGGTGCTCCGGGTCTCCATTCCAAGTCTAATTATGAAGCCATAATTGAAAATAAACATTTGAAATTGAATAAGATTTTACATTTTTCAATTCACATTTAGTAAAGGATTAGAAGTATTTTAATAATAAATATCAATGATGCAACTTTTCTTTAATTGTTAGCTTGTCCACGAACTTTACGGACAACCCTCATACATGTAACATTACTTGCTTTCAAAACTGAGAAATCTGGCTGCCTTGTTTCTCAAATATATGTTAAGTTAAACCATGTTCATCTGTTTATTTCATTGTTCCAAAGATTTCTAGTTTTTTTTTTCAATTTTTTAACAATGTTTTCGCCTTACTTATCGTGAGAACTTAAAAAAAAAATTGTACATTCAATAACTTAAGTCTTGATGAAAATAAAGTTTGGGGAAGAATGAAGGATATTGTTTGTTTGTTTATTGTTTTTCTTTTTGGTTAGTCATAAGCTACTGACAAGGTATCTCACATTCAGTTTGATAAAATGTTAGAAAGGTCAAACCATATCACCTATAATATGGTATATTTTCCACTGCTTAATATTGCTTAGGGCATTCTAGAAATAAGAAAATGTTAGATTAGGAAGTATATATACAAAGAATGTTCATTTACACATTTCTAATACTGTATACCCAACATTAGATTTCACCTTTGAAACCTCACAAAGAAGTTACAAGTTTATACAAACTAATTCTCCTTGTAGGAGAAGAGGGAACCTCCAGTAACAATCAAGGAAGAACCAGAAGACAAGGTAACCACCAAAACAGAGGACCAGAAGGATGCTGCAGGTGGTGGTGGTGAAGTGGTGAAAAAGGAGCCACAGGATACCACAGAGGACACCACCAAACTAGAACCACAAGGAGAGGAGGTGGTGGTGGTGCTAAGTGATGAGGAGTCAGGTGTAGAAAACGAACAAGAGGTGGGGACATTTACTGGTGTAGTGTGTGATTGTCTTTGTTAGAGATTTTAAAAATGTATTTCATAGTGGAATGTTTTATAAAGTGTAAAAAATATAAAACCATAAAAGCTTTTTCTAGGAAAGTGAAATTCAGATTTAACTCATTACTTGTCCGTCTTTACTTCTGTTTTGAAGAATTTTATGAATTAAAAGGAAAATTCTACTTTAAGCAAAAAAGACTAAATTTGAGTAAGAGTTTTATTACAATTTAAAGTATTGTCCATTTGTACTTTTAGAGGGAACAGAGATTCAATAAATTAACATTGTAACATTGAACTACAGGAAGTGTCTAAAATGTCTAAATTTGATTATTGTGCTACAGGAAGTGTCGAAAGAAGAAGAAGATGAAGAAGAGGAAGTAAATCTATTGGAGCTTCGCCTTGCTGCTCTAGCTTCTGCCATGAAGAAGGAGGAGGAATCTCCAGAAGGTCAGAAGAAGCCCTCAGCTAAAGAGGACACGAAAGATAAAAAAGACGGCCCAAACAGAAGATCCAGAAGTAACGACAGGAGCACCAGGCGACCAAGTGGTGGCACAGACAGACAGACAAGGCTGTCAAAAGGTTTTTGTTTTATCATTACTTTTCGTTGGTTTTAATAATAAACAATTCTTTCAGCAGCAAGCTGTTGCTGCTGAATATTTTAGTCCTCTACTTGCTGTTCTTTTTATGTCTAAGAGAAGAATTAAAAAATAGGTCTGAATATAGAATGTTTTATTAATAATTCAAAGCAATTTATTAAATTGTTTACTTGCAAGGTGTCATGGAAATAGTTCTCAAAATGGGAGACATACTAGACTTAAATTATCGATGTATATTATCTGAAGAACATGCATACACTATAAGATTATTAAACAAGATTTTTTTCTTTCAAAATAGATAGTAGACCAGGTGAAGGTCGCAGAAATGACAGGAACCTGGGAAACAGGAGTTCAAGGTCAACCTCATCTGGGAAATCTCCAGGCTCTCGTAAACCTTCAGCAAGTTCTTCTAGCATCAGACGTCAGCCATCGAGGAGGAACGACAATAGGAGAGACAGTAGTACAGACGCACGCCGACAGGATCAGAGGAAACCAAGCGTGGCAGAGAAACGGAGACAGGAGAGCAAGAGAAGAGCTGAGGAGGAAAAACGAAGGGCAGAGGAGGACAAGAGAAGGGAGGAAGACAAAAGGAGGGCAGAGGAGGACAAACGTAGAGAAATTCAACGGATCCTCACTATTGATGACCCCAAGGAGCAGGTCAACAGATTCCTCAGGATGTTAGATGATAAACGATATCCAGAGTACAGCAAGGTAATGAGAGCTTTGTTTCAAAATATTGGATATGGTGACTGAAATTCAAAGAAAAAAATTAAAGAACTAGAAAATAAGACTCTTTATAGTCTATATAATTATCATTATCTTTGATAAAATTTGGTTTCAATATTGTAATTCTTTTGTATTGTTTTGTACCCAGATGTATAGAGCTTTATTTTTCATTTTAAGGCCTCAGGTACAGACAGTAAGAAGAAGCCCCCCATTGTCAGTAAGCAGGTGCCCCCCATTGGCAGTAAGCAGGTGGCCCCTGCTGGTAAACAGGTGGCTGCCCCGGCGGTGCCCCTGACAGATAACTATGATGAGGTGGAGATGGATCTGGACAGTGATGATGGGTCCCCAGGTCTGTATCACTGAATACTTAACGTAGCCTCTCCATAACATTACATAGTGTCGAGTCAGAAAATTAAATATAAAGATGTTTGAGTCTGGGACCGAGCTTTCTTATTAGAATTTGCTCAGCAAATGTATAGAGTGCATTTATGTCTGTTTTGGATATGATCTTTTTACATTTTCTTCTTTTGCAGGACCTCTTGTTCAATATTTATTAAACATTCATTAAAGCATAAATATAAAGGTCTTCTTTTATAGACAAGGAGGAAATCAAATAGAGAACATATTTGGATTGCCAATTAAAATTTTCCCCATGGGCTAGGGTGCTGCTGCAAATTGGGATTCAAGCAATTCTTTCTGGTGATTCTTTCCCGTCTAAGCTGTAAGGTACAAAGAAATTTATCAGTATTGTTTTTGATTTAAAGCTATATCCATGGAGCAGACAGCTGGATTTGAAGATCTAATGGACAAAGATTATCGCCAAGGTTTTGGATACCCTGTGCCTCTGATGGTAAGTTAGTCAGTCTTTCTGTCTGTAGTGTATTTACTAGTCATTAGCGAAACTTATATGATGCAAATACCCATTAGTTTTTCTGTACCAATTTTTTTTCTAACCTGTGCATATAAAGACAGTGATTTCTTTCAAGTACTTTTTTAATTGTTTAGTAATGGTAGGGACTAATTATGGTTGTTTATTTTACAGAATGTAGATACTTCTGGGGCCAGTCTTCAGATACCTCACTGGAATGACCCCTACTTTCCCGGTTACAGTGATATCATGTCAGAGGAGATTACAGAGTCTCAGACAGCAGCCTGGGAAGATCCTTTGTTTAATCAGAATTACAGCGACCCTTCCTACAGTGGCGTGTTAAAACCTTGGACAGAACTTTATCCCCCAGAAAACATTGATCCCCTTAAGCTCCCACCCCCACCTCCCCCTCCACCCCTACCCCCAGATGAACCCCAGCCCCCACCCCCTCCAGATCTTACATCTCCACCCCCTTTGCCTTTAGAACCCCCTCCAGAGGAGGAAATTACTCAGAGTTCCACACAGATTGAAGGGAGAGGATCTACAGATATTTATGCAGCTCTTAGATCCTCTCCTAATCTTTCAGAGGATCTTGACAAGGAGGAAGCACATCTAAGAGCCCAACTACTGAAGTCAATGGCAGCTAGGAAAATGAAAGAGAAGATACAGAAATTGACAAATGAGGTATCCTGCAATATTGCTTTATATTATGTGTACATGTTTATATAACGTACTTGTATGAGTTAAGAGCAAGTTGAAGGAAATTCATTTCTTTTGTAATGCAGAAAAAAGGTCATTAATCTGAGAATGAATTATTTCTGCATGCTAATTTCAAAGAGTTATTCAATTTTGCCAAAAAAAAATGTTTAAGAATTTTTTTTTATCTTAATGTAAAATAGAAGGCATTGAACATTGGTATAAGATGTTTTTATTGCAGATAAAATCGGCGGATAGTTCCCCAACCAGAAGTCAGTCTCCAGCATCAACAGCCATTACCCTGAAACCAAAACCAGCAAGAAATAGGCAGCCCATGACACAGCTAGTGGTATGGCAGCAGCACTTTGTAAAATTTACATACCAATAGTGTGCTGTTAGAATGTTTGAACAAAATTATCAGCCAAGGATGGCTGACATTTTAATGATGTTGCTCTCAAAGAGCATTGTATGTCCATTGTGAAAAAATTGTCATGAAAAATGAAAGTGAAAATAGTCATAAAGACAAAAGATAGTTCTTTTTTTTAAATTTTGAATAGAAATAGTGACTGATGAAATTATTAGTTGTTTTTTCATATACTTTTTTTTAAGCATTTGTAAATTTTGTTTATTTCATTTACAGATTCCAGTTCATGACCCCGTAGTTATTAATTTAAATGATGATTCCTCTGATGAGGATGAATTCCAATCATCTTCTCTACAGACCTCACAGAGAATCCCAACCATTCCTAATTCATCAGCCAATCAGATGTCCTACAATAACTCCAGTAAAACCTCTGTAGGTAGCAGTGCTAAGGCAATCCAACCTCGACCCGTCACCTCCAGTCTTCTGTCGGGGTTAGATTCCTTTTTAAAAGAGGCCAGGAAATCATCAGAGGTAGGTATTGATTTGTGAAATTGTAAACTGAATTTTTCCTAAATTGCGTATTTAATAAAGATAGAATGATATTGACAATACTGTAAGAGAAGATGCATGTTTCTTGATGAATGATTTAATGTTCTTCAGAATATGGAAAAGAAAGAAAAAGAGGACAATGAGAGGAAAAAAAAGCTTAAAGAATTGGAAGACGAACTCCAGAATCAAAGGTAGAATAGTTATAAAATGAGAAGAACAACTAATTCTATCAGTCATTTCAGCCCTTGCAAGAATTGAGATCTTTTCCTTCATTGTTGAAATCAAAACTAGGGATGTCAACGAATATTCGAATATTCGAATATTCATTCGATGAGTTGATATTCGAATATAAATTTATGATTCGAATATTCGTTTTTAAGTATAAAGGCATTAAAAATAGAGAAAAACCTGGCAAGTTTTATTAGAAATTGAATCAAGTTTGTACAAAATAAAAAAAAACACTCCTCTTGGATAGCCTTAAAGATGTAAAGAGTGTATCTATTAGAGTAATTTATTTATTTGTTCACTTAATTAGTGGTATAATAGTTTCCAGTACTAACAATCAGCTTGTATTGTTGTAAGGGCCCAGTTTTACTGTAAACACACTGACTTCTTGTTTATGTAAATATAACGTCAAGAATCATTATCAGGAAATTATAATTAGCAAATAGTAATTGCTTTTAATATTTCACCATTAGATAATTGTTCTGCTTGGTATAAATTTGTAGGAGTTATCAGTGTAGACTTTAGTAAGATGATCAATTAATCTGGAACATATTAAAGAATCTTTTGAATTTTCTAAAAGCAGTCATTTTATTTTGGATGTATACTATTCAATAATTCTTTAAAAATATATATATTTGTAGTGCATTTTCCAAACTCTACATGAGTTTTTTTCCCCAAAATAATGGCATAAAACCTATACTGCTTGACAGGTGTGTGAAGATATATATTAAATAGTGCAAGATGTATTTATTTTATCGAATATTCGAATATATTCGAATACTTCTATCGAATATTCGAATATCAATTATTGACAATTTTGACATCCCTAATCAAAACATATTTTATCTATCTGTAGAACTGGTGTGGAGAAGGGAAGGGAATTATTTAAATCCCTGTTAAAGCGCTGCGCTAAAAATAAGAAAGATTGGACAGAAGCCCAAGGCAGCTTAGAGGATCTGAGACAACAGCTACTTGAGGCCGAGAGTGTGGTGGCCCAGAAAAAACAACAGTTTGACATATCCCGCAAACAGGTAAATAATAAATCCAAAAAAGAGGTAATAGTGATTTCAGTTAAGTGTGAAGTTTTGCATTACATCACAACCTAAAGGACAAATCCTAAACACAGGTAAATGCTAAATCCTTACAACAGGTAAATGATAAATCCTAAAACAGGTAAATAATAAATTCTTAACACAGGTAAATGACAAATCCTGAAAAACATATAAATGACAAAAATCCCCAAGAAACAATGTAAATGACAAATCAATACACAGGTAAATGACAAATTCAGAACAACATGTAAACAAGGTAAACAACAAATACCAAAATGGGTAAATGTCGACCTAAAGGTTAGAACATTTCAAATAGAGTTGTCTTCCTAAAAAGTATGAATTTCATTTGGTCTTATTTTGATAAAGAAAAAATGATTGGATGAGGATGGTAGGTGATATGTTATGATACAAAGCTAATGTGTGTAATGTCCAGAGAAAACTGTGTACAAAAGTTTTTACTTTTAAACCATCACCCCTTAATTATATGTTTCAGGGAAAACATTGTCACGTCGAATGTTCTAAAGAGACACTGTCTTTTTGCAGGCCCGGGAACTGAGAGACAAAGTGAACCAGAGAGCCCAGGATTTGGAGAGGCTGGAGTCCGAGGTGAAGGAGGAGGGGGTACAGGTGTACGGGGAGGACTACTCCGTCCCTAGCTCCTCCAGGGAGGTCACCGTGGCCGGCAAGTCCAGGGGAAAAAACTTAGCTGTCACAGTTATTAACGAGGTACAAATAAGCTCTCTATGAATATCTAGAAAAATTTTCAAGCTAATCCAGTGTTTGATGGTATTTGCTTTGATGGACATTTAAGAATCCTTTTCAATACGTAGGTAAAATTTTCATCTTTGCATTTAAAGTGTACATTTTGATAGAAGGAAACAATTTCAACTGTTGTTTTATGCTTTCTTTTACTTAATCTAGTCAAATAATTTATGTGCAAAATGGATAGAATAAACCAATTTAATTGATTTGACTGTTAAAAGTTATTTCACAAACTTTAAGTCCACAAAAATTTACGTTTTTGAACTAATTATACAGAGAAGCATGTTTATACCTCACGCCAAACCCGACTGAATGACGATCCGAAAAAACAAACTGAACCGAAAGTAGAGATTTTGTACCATGTATAGAACCTTTATGTATGTTTCACTCCTATTGCTTTGATAGACATTTAAGAATGAGTTTTCATAGAAGCTGTTTTCGTCTTTGCACTTTAAAGTGTCACTTAGGCCCCTTCTTTCAGGTCTCTGTGTCTCATTCAGGTGCTATATCAATCAAGTGAAGTGAATTTTCCTATAGAATTCTGTGGGAAATAAATCATTTCACCTAAACAGTAATGATTAATAAAGAAATCTGTGTATAAGATTTGATACTCATTGCTTAAATCCCAGATATGGATAGTATTACTGTATTAGATTAGTTTTTAATAAAAGCAACATTCATTATTCGTGGTAAATATTTGATTTAGTACATGATTTCCTCCTACTGCATCCATGAGAAGGTGAAACTCCAGAGTTCTGTATATCTAGATGCCTGTTTTAGAAATAGGAGTTAGGTCTGTATCTAGATGCCTGTTTTAGAAATAGGCGTTAGGTCTGGTATATAAGACACATAGTTAAGGGTTCTGTTTTGTAGTTAGAGGATAGTCATGTACACTTTAATTAAACATAAAATTAATCTATAGTTTCACTTCCACTCATCAATCACCTTGTCATGATCCTTTAATAATTGTCATTTTCTGTAGAAATTATCAGTTTCGTTAATAGTTGCCAGATTCTTTAAAAATTGTCAGTTTCTATATAAATTGTCAGTTTCTATGTAAATTGTCAGTTTCTTTAAAACACAGTTAGTTTCGTTAATAAAAGTCATTTTCAGGCCTTTGTATAAAGATGAGGAACAGCACCCTAAAGTGGCATTTTTATCTGTGTCTATGATCTTAGTGTCTCATTCAGGTGCTAAATTAAAAAACTCTTCATTGTCGTTACTCTCTCTGTCATAAAAACAGAGGGAAACCTGTGAATAGAGAACAGAATTTATTTTTAATTGAAATATTTGGGTAGTAAGAAAGAAATCATAGCAATTTTCTACTTTCTGTTTTAATTAAGTTGTTTATATAGTTCACTTATTGTGACAGAGATAACTGAAAAACTGGGTATAAGAGATAATTTCTTACATTTAAGGAATACTCAGTACTTGTTCACTTTTCAGAATGTTAATTTGGTTTTTTAATTTTATAATTTATTGGTCCTTAACAGCATGCAGTGAAGAAAGGAGCCTCGGGAAAAGAAAACCTTCAACAGACCAAGAAGAAAAGCGCCGCTGACATTGCTGAGGAAAAAGAACGTTTACAAGGCCTGGAAAAAGAGTACGCTCGGAGGATCCAACATCTCAAAATGGCCAACGCCAAACAGAAGATACAGGCCAGAAAAGCTCGGATCAGTGCTGGCAGGAAAAGCTCCGACGAAATACCACGGCTTGAGAAAATCGAAATTGATCTTACGGAACAGGAGGAGGAAGTAGATATAGAAAAACCAGTAAAACGTCGTCGGTCACTGATGGAGATAAATCCCAGCACCAAACCAAACATAGAGAAGAAGGCAGAGAGTGTCAGTGTACCGGTGAAAACTTTTGTCAGTGCCAAGGACAATCCCAAAAAGTCCACGGATTTTAATGTGCCAAATTCACAGCAGCTAAAAAAGCTTAAACAGTTACTGGTAAGTGGAATCAAACTAGTTTAAATCAGAATTTAGATAAAGGGTGTTAATGGTTAAAACAAACACAAGTAAAGTTATGTTATTATCCATTGTTTTTTACCAAATTGATATTTCTTCTGCAGGATGAAAATGTTTCCACATATCTGTCAAAACAAGAGGTCTTACCTTTAACATGCAACTACTGCCAAAATGTGGTTCAGAAGTCCCAAGAGGTATTGTACCTATGCTAATACATTCTAGAGTTTTTAAAAACAATAATGTATGTTTATTTCTTGAGCTACTTACAGTACAGTACATGTATATGTGTGATGATATTAAAGCTTGACTTTTATATATCCTTGTAATTTGACAGATACCTGCAATAGTAGAACATAGGAAGGTCCAAAGGAGGAAAGATGACAGTGGTACAGAGAAAATTCCATATCCATATACCAGTCCACTACAGCAATTCAAATCATACAGGTAACATCCTTATACCAGTCCACTACAGCAATTCAAATCATACAGGTAACATCCTTATACCAGTCCACTACAGCAATTCAAATCATACAGGTAACATCCTTATACCAGTCCACTACAGCAATTCAAATCATACAGGTAATATCCTTATACTCAAAAATACAGGTAACATCCTAATACCAGACCACTACAACAATTCAAATCAAACAGGTAACATCCTTATACCAGACCACTACAACAATTCAAATCATACAGGTAACATCCTTATACCAGTCCACTACAACAATTCAAATCATACAGGTAACATCCTTATACCAGTCCACTACAGCAATTCAAATCATACAGGTAACATCCTTATACCAGTCCACTACAGCAATTCAAATCATACAGGTAACATCCTTATACCAGTCCACTACAGCAATTCAAATCATACAGGTAACATCCTTATACCAGACCACTACAACAATTCAAATCATACAGGTAACATCCTTATACCAGACCACTACAACAATTCAAATCATACAGGTAATATCCTTATACCAGACCACTACAACAATTCAAATCAAACAGGTAATCCTTATACCAGTCCACTACAGCAATTCAAATCAAACAGGTAATATTTTTATACCAGTCCACTACAGCAATTCAAATCAAACAGGTAATCCATATACCAGTCCACTACAGCAATTCAAATCATACAGGTAACATCCTTATACCAGTCCACTACAGCAATTCAAATCATACAGGTAATATCCTTATACCAGTCCACTACAGCAATTCAAATCATACAGGTAATATCCTTAATACCAGACCACTACAACAATTTAAAATGTACAGCTAACATCCTTAATATATTTATTTGTATTAAAAATTGCAAAACTTACAAATTTTGCATAGTGCATCACATTGACTTTCAGATAAATATTGGATATTTCAATAGTTTTATGTATGTGTGTATTTGTTTTCTTGATGGTGATTATTTTACGGCACCTTCATTAATGTGAATTATATTTTGAACAATTCTGTGATTCTTGTTTCAGGTTTAGTCCATACTTTAGAACAAAGAATAAGCTTTCCTTATCCTCGGTGACGTTTTCCAATAAACTAAACATCAACCGAGTTCTCTGTAAATACGACCTACAGGGCACCTGTAATGATGACGATTGTGATGGGTGAGTAACTTTATTTATGATCAGCTGTTTTAGTAAAGTGAGTCCTGGCTTGTCCCCTTATATATTTTTTGTGTTTTGGTGGCTATCACGTGAGTGAAGAATGCTTATAGATATAAATTGTTGATTCTCAGTCCTCGAATTTTGAATTATTAAGAATGAAATAAGCATGTATAAAGAAAGCAATGATTGATTGATAAAGTCTCTTAGAGTCAGCAAATGCCTCCTACAGGCTTTTAGATTTCAAATTCTCCCTTTAAGTTACCCCCTTGCAGCTTTAGGAACTAAGTGTGTTTTTTCCAGCTACTCATTTCAGAATTACTTGCCAACTTAAAAATGTATTAATTGATGAAAACACTGCTATGATATGGCATCAGTTGTATTACATTTTCATCTTGCAAATCATCACCTGTAACAAGGTATTACACTATCAAAAAAGGGTTGGTCATCAGAGCTTAATTCAGTTAAATGGTTAAATGAATTAGTATAAAATTTAATGAATCGGTACAAGACTGAATAAATGGGTTATATAAACTGTATATGAAACACTTTGAAATTCATGTAAACCCTCTGAAGCTTAACAAGATGTCTTCATCGCAGATCACATTTTATGGCCCATGTAATAGAAGGAGGATAATTACTATGTATTGTATGGCCAGGGCTTTGTCTGGATTTACGGATTACTTCCCTTTGACTGGTTTTAAGATCTTGGTTACAACATCATAGGGGGTCTGTTTACTTGGCACCTGTACCCCTCTCATCAGCACCCCCCTCTTACGTGGCCAGAAGCCATGATCTATTGTAAGGATACAGTGTCACAATGACTGAACGGTGTAACATTTCAGGAAATCACATCAGGCAAAATGTACAGGGATTAACATGCTTGTTAACATGTAGTTAGGTTGCAAAAAATGCAGGCATAAAATCGGAAGAAAACAGTGGAGGGTTAAGGGGTGAAGGGATGGCATATTGAATTAAGGCAACGGTATGATTTGTGTCGGAATGAATTTTCTGACTGAACTGCATCATAAATTGTATGTTGTCTGTTGATATATGTACCAGTTCAAGACTAGATTCCTGTTTCAATAAAAGATTTGCATCATTATAATATAAGTTGGAGAAATTAGCATAATAGAGGCTTACTTTGATAAATTCTCATGTAAGCTTCCATGCCATTTTTGCACTTGTATACAACATAATGGCCTATTAATTCTTAAACAACACCTGCTGGGAATTAAGTGAACTAGATATTAAAACACTTATGACACTACAGACAAATAAAATTCTCCGGCCATTTTTGCAATGCAATTTTTGTAATAAAATTTGTATTTTCTAAAGAGTTAAATAATGATGTGAATCAACACATTATGGAGTTTACTTTGAAATCAGAGGAAAATAAGTTTGAAAATATCAAATTCAAACAAGTTATATTGAAATGAGTGCATTACTGATATCTACCAGGTTATTCTCAAAATGTAGTACATGTACTGATATCCAATGTAATATTGAATGTTTAACATGATTGTACTTGTCATATCTAACATTGCACTGATATCTAACATTACACTGATATCTAACATTACACTGATATCTAATGTTACACTGATATCTATACTTTACGCTGATATCTAACCATACACTGATATCTAATGTTACACTGATATCTATACTTTATGCTGATATCTAACCATACATTGATATCTAATGTTACACTGATATCTATACTTTACACTGATATCTAACCATACACTGATATCTAATGTTACACTGATATCTATACTTTACACTGATATCTAACCATACACTGATATCTAATGTTACACTGATATCTATACTTTACACTGATATCTAACCATACACTGATATCTAATGTTACACTGATATCTATACTTTATACTGATATCTAATTTTACAGACAGCATCAGAGTGACTACCGGCTATCGGAGCAGGAAGTTCTCCAGGACATTGTGTCGTATAACCCTGTCATCTGTGGAGTGGCCGCTGACACGCCCCCTCAGTACAGCGGCAGGCTCATCAGTAAGGGAATCATTTTATACAGGAATGATGAAAAATAAAAATTAAAAAAAAAGAAACTCCTAAAGAAATATTAAACATAATGTCATTTTTAAAAGAAAGTTTGAATATTAATTTTGAAATTTATGGTTGCCTTTGAGTTTTGAAAAAATTAAAAATGCAGTCAATTCTCGAATTATCGCCATTTAATTCATCGCCATTTTCGCAATACCGCCATGATTTCCCAAGAACGTTTCTCCTTCTATATAAAATCCTCTTTATACCGCCAAATTCACATACCGCCATCCGCCACCCCGTTTTCACAACAAACGTCCATTCTTAAGTGTCAGTTATCTCGATATACTGCCACAGGTGCATGAGGTCAGTGAAGCGCGGCTAATTGTTTGACGCTATCCCTGTTGTAAAGCATGCAAAGCCACACAAGGGACATGCAATTAAATAATTAAATAAGAGTTAAATAAACAATAATTTTAATATGAACTGTTATAATGATTTTTTATCTGTTTAATAAAAATCATTTAGTCACGGCTTTGCCGCGAAAGCGGTCTTTGTTAAAGTACGCCGAATACAATATTATTTTGAATGATCTCTGCTATAAACAATGCAAAGTTTGCTTGACAAATAATTATACGGTATAAATTGTGAACGTTTCATTAACAATGATGCCATAAACAATGAATTTATTCAAGAAATAATTTTATATCACGATGATCAACCCAGCATGTTTTTTTTTTTTTTACAGATTTACATGCATACACATTTACTTGTCTTTATTTTATTTCTGCACATTTTGTTTTAATGAAATTGTACATAAAAAATTACTTTTTATTTTCAAATTAAGAAATATGTTTTATATATATACATGTAGATGTACATGTAATTACAAGAATAGAAACGCTAAATGGTATTTCTAAGGACGGTAACTCTTCTTTTTGTTTCCTAAAAGATGGGAAATTCAATTCATCGCCAAATTCGTTATACCGCCATGATTTCTAAATTACAAAAGGTGGCGGTTTGTTGAGAATTAACTGTAATCAGTACTGTAAATTACAAAATTTTATGACACCTTATTGAGAGAGTTATATTTATACGTAAATGAGCCAAAATTTCACAAAATCTTATTGTTTATAATCTTTATCAATCCAAATATAGTTTAGAATGCCATTGCATAAATAGTTTTTAATGCAAAAATATAGTTCTTGGAATTAAAGAAGTGATTAACATTAAATGTACAAAACCTGTCTTTTCAGATACGTATGTCAATAATCTTAGTAAGCAGCATAGTGGACGATTGACCACTGACCAGTTAAAGATCTTCCTAGTCAGTCAAGTGCTAGAAAAATCAGGACAAAGTAGGTCCACGTTTAAATCAGTACTGAAATAATGAATCGCTAATTGTTTTGATGTGTTACAAGTTTTAAATTGATTGCAGAGAAACCACACACTTTGTTCCTGGACTCCAGAAAATGGAGAGTGACCCAGACAGACAGAAAGAAGAGGGCAGCTAAAACCGCAAAGGAAGTATCACCTGATAAAATAGGTAAAGCATCTGTTATTCTATCATAAAGAAATCATTCCTGCATCAGAGAAATTGTTGAGAATATACCCAAATAGTTGAGAAACAAAAACAGAGCATGAAATGCAAGGCTTTTATTTTCCAACAAAAAAGACTAAGGGTTATATTTTCCAACGATTCTGAAAAAGAGGAAATTATTTCTATTCTGCTACTCTAAATATCTTCTATATAGAGATATGCAGAAGCAGTATTTAGACTTCATAAGAAGTGTCCTAATGTCATAATTGAATGCCAAAATCATAGCATGCTTTCGACAATGACTATGGTTTTTTTATTGTAGAATGGGAACGTGATGGTAAAGAAGATTTAGATAATGTTATCGGGGAAATAGATGTCCGGTACTTCCTGTCCGATTCCACGAAGATAGAGGACATGGAGTCTGCAGTCTTGGAAAATCCGGAGGATACGTCCATGTGGATCAAACTGGCCAATACAAAACTCTCCGATACTCAGAGGTAAAGATTATTAGAAAATTTTGCTTTAAAATGTCAGCAATTTTAATTAAAATTATAAAGGATCAAATTTTAAATATTTTAATGTTTTGTAGTCATACTCCATCCGAGTGTTTGGACCACGCCTTGAACGTCCTGTCCAGGGGATTGGAGAACAACAAATCTAGTGTGGAATTGTGGGAAAATTACCTCACATTGTTTGCTAGTCACCCGGACAATCGAGAACTAGGGGACATGTGTCAAACAGCATTACAGTTAACACAGAGCTACTCCATCTTGTGGAAGGTAATGTTTCTATTCAAAATGTAGTTATCAGCATATTTTAGAATGCAGCTGCTGCTTGTTTGAATTACCTGTTAGTCTTGTAATATTTCAAGCAATTTCTTTTTATTTCAGTATCTCGGTACGATAAAACCTCTTCATAAAAGAGCTGAAACCTGTGATACAATTTTGAACTTCTTGAAATCCCAAGATGCAATAGACCCAGATCTTCAGTCTCATCAGTGTTTAGAAACAGTATTGTACAAAGTCTCTCTCTACTGCTGGAGCGGAAAACACAAAACGGCCTCCAATTTTCTTCAGGTAAAAATTCATGTTTTTTTAATTTTTACCCTTGCTTTTAAATTTCTCTTGTTTCTTCTACAATGTGTTTAGCTCTGAGTTCAGAGGTCAGAGAGCTAAGGTTTGTATCTGTTATTTTTTCTGCCAATCACTATTTCTGAGGTTGGTAGTCATTACTGTTGCACCATTTGGTGAAGGTAATTCTGGAGATCAAGGCAGATGATATTTTATCATCACAAGAATGTCTCCTCATAGAAATTGTGTTTCACATGTGTTACTGTTAAGTCTATTTTGCAATAATTAAAATAAAGTAATTCACAAAAAGTTGAAGTGAGCACAATTCTATCTTAGAGGGAAATAATGAAAAAGTCTGTTGAATAACTTTAATTGTACTTAAAAACAAATCTACATTGTAGCAGGTGACATAAATGTCTTAAAAATATGAAATGATTTGCATAGTTTTAAGCTTTTAGTACATTTATTGAGATGGATGAGCAATTGCTATAAGAAATAGGTAGATAATAGAAACTGGCTATTGTTATTTTATTGTCATTCTAGGTAACTTGGAAAATTTAGAGCAAAATTATCATTTATCATATTACATGTGTAATAAGAATATCATTGTTTACCTGAATTTTGAACTATCATTGCATATGAAGAACTTATGTGAACACAGTATTTTTTACTTTTTCTAAAAAGCTATTTCTCAACAACCAATAACCCTGTTTTTGCTTAGATCTGATGCTTATTAGGTGCTTAGATTGCACGGTGTGTTCCCATTTTGCACACATTTGATAAATAGGTATAGAACAATAGCTGTGAAGTGTGTTTTGATAGCAATTATAGTCTGATTTTTGGTTTGGATTTACCTGGATTTACCTGTCAATACCTGATTTAGCTTAATGTATTCTTAAAAGGTTTAATACAATTTTATAAGCATTTTAGTAAAATTCCATATATATTTATGGGAAAATGTTTGATTTTATTGAATATTTTATTAATAAATCATTAGTATTTATTTATTAAGTCCATTTTTTTTTATAAAAATCTTGATAAAATTCTAAATGAATTAAAGATATAACAAATAATAAAGAAAATAGAGAATTGTATTATGCTCAATTGTACTGAAATATGTCAATAAATAAAATTGAATATAAAGTACATTAAATTTGTATTTATTCTCTTATTTTTTCACTATAAGTTCACCTTTCACCTACTTAATAAGTATGGTATAGACTATAGCAATTAAGAAGTTATCTCACCTGGTCAAATTCCCGTTTTACACACATTTTTTAATTACCTGTAATTCAGATGTGTGCAAAACGGGAACAAACCGATTGCACATGTGAACAGGTCAAATATTGATTAACTTAATTGGTCTATATTTTTGTGGGTGGGGGTGGGGTGGAAATGGGGTCATTTCAATAAGGTGTGAGGAAATTTCAAGTAATCAATTATTTTATTCTGACCTAATAAATAAAAGCTATTACTTATTCTGTGCTGTTAAAGAACATTATGTTTATCTTCATATGTTCGTGAAGTATTTATATCGCCCATTAGCTTTAATGTACATAAACAATTACTTGAATAGAATAAATGACTTCACAAAAAATTCACATCATGACATTTGTAAAAATTGTCAGCAGATATCAGTTCTTTGTATAAGAAGGTAATTTGGGTGAATTTGGAGAAATATTTTTTAGTAAATTGGACAAACACTTTTGTCTGACGTACTCCTTTGAATGGAAAAAAATGCTGAATACCATTATTTATAAAATCTTGACTACAAAATGCAGAGTCACAGAGAGCAATATTCCTACAATTACACTGCAATTAGATTGCCAATCACAAAATCCCAGAATTCTCTATCTTGTCATTAGAGCATTTCTTCTTGTGAGTCTTTAAATTTTTATGTTGATAAACAAAATTTATGACATTCCCCAACAACCAGGAACTTATAAGCATTGTAACCTAACACAAAAGCCTCAAGGATAGGGGGTCACAAAGACTCTTTAATTTGACAAAAATCACTTTTGTAGTGATAAGCCTATAGCCAACTTTGATGATTATCTGGGATGGATACATTTCATCTTAATGTGCTTCTTAGAGATAACCATCAGGAAAAATGATGTTGGGGTAGGCTCATCAGAAATCGATATGACAGTCTTTAAAAAACCTCCCAAAGAGTGATTCAATATTCACCAAAGAATTGATGAATTGTACAAAAAGAAATGATGACCTTGTAACATGACCTTGAAGTTTTCAGTCTTCTTGTTGAGGTTTGGCCACATGTTTCTGGGATAATAAATGAGGAATTCCACCCCCTTTTGAGGTTATTAACTGGGAGGAGGGGGGATCACAATATACTCTTCATCTTGTTGTTATAGAAACAGATCTTGTTGAACGCTGGTTACAACAAAGGAAAATGTGTCTGATATATTGGGGATTAGTTCAACATAGTACCAACAAACCTCCTTTTGATCTAGTATTAAGCATAAATATTAACCTAAAAAACAAACCCAGTTCTTGTGACGCAATACAAGACTTGATCCACAAAGATACCCCTGTGTACGTTTCCCTGGTTCATGTCAAATACCTCGGTAATAGTATACCCCATATAGAGAGTGTTATGGTCAATTATGTTTCATAAGTTATCCCACATTGTTAAAATACCCCACCATGATGATTTAACAGAAAAAAAATGACACTCGGTGGTAAATGTTTTGACGAAAATGGACAATTAAGTGGTAATTCCCTCCATTGGCGTACATAACAAAAGTTAATGCTCCGCCATTGTCTCCTTGTGCTTGACCTGCTAATTGTCCCGGGTCAAGTCACCGTTCACAGTCAGGGTCCTCGTAGATTAAGTTAATTCACAGAACTAAAGGGAAAGGTTCTCAATACATTTTACCTTGGCCAGGCATGAAATTTTTAGTTAGCACTCTCCTTGAGAGAGTTTGTCAGAAGTCCCTTCTCTCGACCCCACCCCTTTGACTTTTCATTGAGACATCCTGGGTGCAGGTTGGTGTGCATTGATGGGGGTAATTTGGCGAATAAAATTGTAGATTCACAGTCTGTAGACGGTAAAAAGGAGGTTTTATGCGGCTTTAATGAGGTACTTGAAATGGATGATGGTTGTTAATCAGGTGTTATCATTATTTGATCCACTTATAAATTGCTGAATTATGCAAAAATCATCTCCATGCTGGGGAGTAGCAAAATCCATGAATGGATATGCAGGGGCATGAAAGAAAAGAATTTAATGCCTCTTATTTAACAGACAATTATAAGCAATGAAAATTTTATGAAGAATAGAAGTTGGAGATACACTTTTATGATTTTAGAAAGCAAGAATGTTTTGGACTTTTCATTCAAAATGTATGTTTTAGCAGGTTTTGGCATGATGAGTAAAAAGATGGCACTTGTGAATAAGAGCTTAATTAATAATGGAGTTAGAAATAGCTGTGAAATGATAAAGAGTTATACACAGACCACACAGAAAATATCTGTTAACATGCTTTTGTACAAGAAATGAATGGATTTGGTAATTTCTTTTTAGCTCACCTGAGTCATTTAGGTGAAGAGTATATATCTGTATAAACCTCAGTTTGTTTTAATATTTATACTTGTATTTTAAATGGTTGTGTGCATGTCTTTTGGGACAAACTTAAACAAATTTACATTTTCATAAAAATGGTCATTGGCCAATACACAGTTAAATGCAAAACTGCACTGTTTTTCATTAGTTAGCATTAATATCAGAGTGATAATAATGATAATAGGACAGAGTTAATTTTGACTTATCAGGAATTGCTCAGGACTTGCAGCTGTGATTCTTTTTTACAGGATTTCTTGTAGGATGTGACATCTCTTTGAAGAATACATAATAATAAAAATACTTTTAATCAAAAAGGCTTTAAGCATTTTCCCTTATTTTTCTTATTTATAAAAAAAAAAAACATGTATTCAGAATCAAAGATCTTACAGCTAGGTTATAAATACCTAAGACTTGACTCTCATGTAGGTTAGTGATGTGGCCCTCATGGGTATCTTAAAGTGTGGTGCAAAAAGTTCAAGTGAATGAAATATATCTGCCACTTATTGTATTGCATTAGGTAAAATAAATGGCTTAGTATGCATAAAATCTGGATTAATGTCAAAGATTTTAAAAGTTAGGAATTACATGCTTTAAAAACCCCCTTGCTATTAAAAGAACTTGTCGAGTTTAATCAGTGTCATCTTGTAATGTTGTCCACCCCAAGAAATTTCTCTCTGGAAAGAAAATAAGAGTTTATATTAGCTAACCTATGAAATTCCCTTAAAAAAATAATGAATCAAAAGTAATGGACTGCTTATGAACTCTTGTCTAAGATACAAAATTTTAGTAGTGTGACAAAAGAAATTTTTGAAAATTTTATGCCTTCACATTTTCACATTAAATTATTTCAGTACCTTCTTGTTGCTGAGGGCCCTAACAAGTATGACTGGATTAAGTCTGCTATGTCTATAGAGGATCAGTGTGTGCTATGGCTGTCCTACCTCCATGTACTGGGGTACAAGTCTTTGCCTAGTCAGCTTTATGACCCCACCCATATGTCATCAGGAAAAATTGTCTGCAAGGTAGGTTATTGAGTCACATGTGTATTTGAAAAAGTCACATGTTTTGAACAAACAAAAATAAATTTAAAGCTTTTCACATAATACAAATGTCCTGTTACTGATCCCCACCCCTGTCCTTTCCCAGAAGAAAATGTCCTCTTCACGTAAAATCTCTGCATCATAAGTTATTCCCTATTTGTTGCAAGCTTGGATGTAATTAATGCATTTATAAAAAAAAATCCAAGAGTAAAGTTCAGATAAGATATTTACAACCATCAACTCAGAACTTGCCATTACACCCATTTGACCAATGTCATCTTCAAATAACTGATAGCTAGATTATAATTTTGGAGTTTTCTTTAATGTAGGAGAAGTTGACCTTGAACTGGGAGTTGACCCCTGACCTTTTGTTACCAGTGGAGCACTTTAAGGAGATGATGTGGAAGGCCTGTGATTTTATTCGGGGCCTGGAGGAGGGTGACCTATCCCAGGGTTCCTTGCTCTTCACCAACCTCTTCCACCTCCTCAAAGTCAGCACCATGTAAGTCATTAAGGAAAGATTTAATTTGGTTATTGTTGTGGATAAAGCAATTCATTTGTCCTTTCTATAAAGAACAGTACAACAGTATTGCTGGGGGAAAAAAAATAAATTTTTACAATTACTAAATGAATGCATTTGTAGATTTGTCTTGGAAACCTTGTCAAAAAATACCATTAGCAGGTTGTTGCTATTTGCTCTTATAATTCATTTGTTCATAATCTTCAATAAATATAGGAAAGAGTGTGAAGTATATAATTTGATGAGCTGAACATGATACTTATAATCATGAGATTTCCCCAGAACATGTAATAAGGTATAGTTTTTCTATGGACAGTGTACATTTTAAAGTCAGAGATTTGGTATGTACATTTGGAAATTAAGGTATTATTTTGAACATTTGTTGTGGTGGGTCTTTGACAAAGGGATTGATGTTCTGTTTCGCAAGGTCTTTGTTAAAAATAATAACTAAGTAATAAAAGTCATGCTAAAATATCTTATTTGACGTTTTTGTAACCCATCTGTCCAGATGAATTCTATAAGAGTTAAAGTTGAAAAATGAATCTTTATTCTGGGATGTGTTTCAGCGTCTAATACAAGTATGAAAAATAACACTTTTTAGCAAGTTTGCTATAATGAATCTATTATGAAGGACATAATAGATTGTAAGTCAGTGCCGATTTTGTCATATTGCCGTGTTGTCCGGCTATCGCTGTGCCTGTTACGACCACTTAGGGCTGTCACAGGTGACCTGAAATCTTTCACTTTTCTGTTCAATCCCAGGTGTTATACGTTATCTCGTTAGTGACTGTCAGCAAGGGTAGCTTGTTACTGTAGCAGAACTGTTAGATGAATTTCAGAAATTCAAGATTTGCCCCGAGTATTTCTCTTTTTCAAAATCAGAGTTTGTTAGTTTGGTGTAAGATGTGATATTGTTACAGCAAGTTAGTTTAGGACCCTTTGATTTGAAGAATAAAGACATAACTCCTGTTCCCCAATGGTATTTTCTTTCACAACAGTTCCTTAAGAGAATAAACAATAAACTTTGGCCTGTTTTGATTTAATATAGGTATGAGGAGGCAGCTACTCTGGGTCGTCAGCTTCTGATGAAGAACCCCGGACTGGTGGATGTCTGGATTTGTGTGGCAGACTTGTATAGTCACTGTGGGGAGGCACAGGCCACCAGACAGGTATCTTCAGCACTCTAAAACATTCTGTCTAACATGAGAGGACGGTTAAAATAAGATACTGTGGAAAGTTTCAAGATCATATTAGAATTTAAAATAAAATTAAAAGGGGGGGATGGTTAAGATATTAGAATTGATATACAATTCTTTGATTTAATCTGAAATATTTTCTCAATTCTATATGTCTGTGGTATTTGAAACATTTTTTTCGATGGGTTGAAACGAAAGGATATTAGAGAAAATTATCTGCACAGAAACAGTATACTCACTGCTTATTTGTACACTTCTTATTTGTAGGTGTTTGCCGACAGTTTAGATGCTAATCCATTCAGTGCTCATCTCTTCTACTATGCAGCGAACTTTGAACTCAAGCAGGTACTTTGAATCGATTACACTTATTGTACATCTACCACAACATTTGACACTGCACAGTAAAAACTGAAAGTGATATGTAAACACATTTAAACACATTTTATATATTTAAAGAATAGAGTACTAGACAATATTTCAAAAACTGAAATAGATAGGACAAATGCCTCTGCAAATGCCTACTTACGTCATCTCCTTTATATTTCTGAGATGCTGAATTCTGGGATATTTTATTTTTGATGTGCTGAATTCTGGGATATTTTATTATATTTGTGCTGAATTCTGGGATATTATATTTCTGACGTGCTGAATTCTGGGATATTTTATTATATTTGTGATGAATTCTGGGATATTTTATTATATTTGTGATGAATTCTGGGATATTATATTTCAGGGGGAGACGGACAAAGCTATCGAGTGTCTGGAGAAGAGCATCCTTGCGTTCTATGATGTGGATGTGAACTCGGAGTTAGCAGATCCCAACCTTCTCTTCTGGTGTGTTGATTCATGTTCTCTTGTAAACCAATAAATTTTATAGCAGGGGTCTTAACAGGATTTTGTGAACTTGAGTCCCAGGATTCAGCGAATGCATTTCTTCCAAAATAATTTTACAGCGTCTAATACCGAAATTCTTGAGGCAACAAAATTATATACAAGAGCAACCTATGCACTAGATTTGGAATGTTTCCTGTGACTCTAAGATAGTAGAATGAAGTGATGGTTTCCTTACTTAAGTTCTGTCTCTTTGCAGCTCTCTTTTGAATGAAGATGTTCCTATGAACTACTCTCCTCCAAACTTCACAGACTCTGTGACTCAGGAACAGATAATGGAGGGAAATCTCTACATCTGGCTCAACTACTGGTGAGATACAGTAACATAAGATCTGGTTTAGGGTTTATCAGGTTGAGAAAGTCGCAATGCTGTAGATTCCTAAATATACGCATGGAATTAATTATGTAATTCCGCGAAAAGCACCACTCGCAAAATAAAATAACTCGCTTTTATTTTTATGGTGCTGAAGTATATGTAAAATCTCTTAATCAACCATCCATTTGCGAAATTTTGTTCTAGTGATTTGATGTTAAAGAGCAAATTTGCTATAATAGGTACTCACTAAAAATAAGGAATCTACAGTATTTTTGCAAGTGTATACAGTAAAAAATTTAAATACATGTAGGAAGTATTTTTGACCAGCATTTCTATTTTCATCATGAATATAATTCATTATCTCCATGATATCAGATAAGGATATAGTATAATTTAAAAAAAATTTACAGTGAATGAAAATGTATTCACTATAAGTAGGAATCCATTACCGTAAATCTGGAAATTTTTACTGTAGATAAATTTTTAGCAAATTTGCGCGTGCAATGCATTCGCAAAAATATTTTTCTTAAAAATAAATCCACATGTAAAGAAATTTTTTTCTGAAAGTTGGTGTCTATTTTTAACTCAGTGAATTAATTGGTGTCGGTAAGCCCTGGTCATATTTAAAAAGAAACCTGTTTATACTACTGTAACTACAAGCTAATTACCCGTGCGCGTTAATTGCCCTCATTATATGCAATATCGTCCGATGGTTTGACAAGCACTGAGACGGTGTGTCCCTTTTTAATTACTTTGCCAAGAAAGAGAGACTAGTTATTTTATCCAACAATGTATCAACACGGGCGATAACTCGAACTCAGTGCTTTCACTAGAAAGTTCCAAATGTAGGCCTAAACACGGCGTGTAAATTTTAGGTGAGAAATTACCAAATATTGAGAAAATTAGTTATATTTTTGTCTTTATTTGGATTATATTTTAGGTTAAAAGGCAAACACAACCTCTAAAGGGTTTGTTAAAATTAATTTAGAAGTTATTTTCAGTGCAAATTCTTTTGTATTTTTATCTTCAAAATTGTATCGGAGCGATTCTGCAATTTCTTGCCGCACTGCGAGTATATTGGTGGTATTCTACCTGTGCATACTAAATTGAAACATAAACTGATATGAAAATCTTAAGTGATTTTTATTTTTAGCGCCAGTGACAATTCGCAAAATTTTGAAGCGTAAAAATTAATCAATAGCTTTTTGACCCAAACTCGCAAAAATAAATCGACGTAAAAATTTCCAGATTTACGGTATAAGCATCTTTGCTGTATTGATGGCTTATTCTGTGAACATGTTATATAAAATAATATGACATAGAGTGGTGAAACTTTGCTCAATAAACATCCTGATCTGACTTAAAACACGTAAAAGCAATAATAAAAAATATTAATAAATTGTGAATTCTAAATAGTAATCCAAAGGATAGTGTGAATAACATTCATGATATGAGGAGAGATGAAACAATCCCTTTATTGTGGTAACCTCAAGAATGTTTTGGAGTAACAGCTTCAGTTTTTCTATTTTCCAGACTTCAGGTTAAATGTTTTGAGGGAATTTTTGTTACAATTACTTGTTGTAGCCTTGATGTGGCAAGCTAGTAAAGAAGTGTAGAGAAATGGCAGGCATCTTCTCATTATTTAGATAGCTCCTTTAGGCAACATTGAGTAACTTTCACTGTTTTAAGCAGATAGACTGATATATGATTTCTCTTTAATGATATTTACATGTCCTGTTGGTGGTCATTAAGTATTTTACCTGCAGAAAAACAATATACACGGAATAACTATCTTGGTTGAAGTTATGTGATGTAGGATGTCGTAAATGGTTTGGATTTAGAAAAAAAAATTAACTGGCAAATAATGTGATGTAGAGTGGAAAAGAAAAACTGGATAGATATTTCCTACCTTTGAGTAATTTTTGATGAGCATTTTTTTTTTTTTTGGTGAATTAATGAGATTTTCGTGACCTTGTAGTAAAATGCATTCATTCAAGAAATAAACCAATACGATGGAAAGTGATTTTTTTCTTGGCTATTAAATAATTTCAATACAGTTTACATGTGTGCAGAGAAAGACATATTCTTTTCATTAAGACAAGTGTATGCCAAATGACCATGAATTAGAGTACATGTATTTTATTCAGCATGGCACAAAACAATTTTTGCTACAGACCCGTGTAAGGATGAAATTCTGTGATGAGCAATGCCTTATATTATAAATGTAACTTGCCATTGGCTAAATAGTGTTGATTAATTAAATGTAGACCAGCTAGGTCAGTTTTGTTCATTAATTTTTCACTGGCCAGTTAGCCAGTCCTGGGGGAATGTCGTGAATGCAAGCTGTGTCCAGCACTGTTAAATCGGGGTAACTGAACATTTACAGTGGCTTGTAGCATATTATGAAATAGCATGTAGCATAAAATGCATAGTGCTTGCAGATTTTTAGGAATTTTTTTTTAATGGAATGATGATTACAGTATGCTCTGTTTAGTTTTTAGCTCATCTGAGCCGAAGGCTCAAGTGAGCTTTTCTGATCACATTTTGTCCGGCGTCCGTCTGTCCATCTGTCCGTCCGTCTGTCCGTCTGTCTGTCTGTCTGTAAACTTTTCACATTTTCGACTTCTTCTCAAGAACCGCTGGGCCAATTTCAACCAAACTTGCCACAAAGTATCCTTGGATGAAGGGGATTCAAGTTTGTTCAAATGAAGGGCCACGCCCTCATTCAAGGGGAGATAATTGGGAATTAATGAAAATTTAGTGGCATATTTTAAAAATCTTCTTTTCAAGAACCACTGTGCCAGGAAAGATGAAACTTATGGGGAAACATCCTCAGGTAGTGTAGATTTAAGTTTCTTCAAATCATTACCCCCGGGGGTAGGGCGGGGCCAAAATGGCCGACCAAAGTTTTACATAGAAATATATAGGAAAATTCTTTAAAAATCTTCTTCTCAAGAATGACAAAGCCATAATTCATCATATTTATATCGGAGCATGCTCAGGTATTGTAGATTCAAGTTTGTTCAAATCATGACCCCCTGGGGTAGGGCGGGGCCAAAATGGCCGACCAAAGTTTTACATAGAAATATATAGGAAAATTCTTTAAAAATCTTCTTCCCAAGAATGACAAAGCCATAATTCATCATATTTATATGGAAGCATGCTCAGGTAGTGTAGATTCAAATTTGTTCAAATCACAGGGTTCGACACTAACGCTAGCCCGCTGGCCCGGGACAACTGAATTTTGAGGTCGGACTACCAAACATGTCTTTTAACTTGCCCTGCAGGGCTACAGTAAATTTTACCAATTACTCACTAAGATAATAATAATTATGATTTACACACAATATACCTGATAATTGTTAAATTTATTTTCAAATATGTTTATAATCATCAAAATTATCATATTTGTAAGTCAAAATGTAAACTTTAAAGGTGATTCGAAATACCCTTAATGATTATAAATATGGAATTTTTCGAATAGAAAAAGGTCTTAGGTACAATCATACAGTGACATATAATTTTTGCCCAAAATACAGGCAGAATGCAGGATTTCCCATCTCTATATCAAAATTTCCCGGGGGGAGGCCCCCCTTACCCCCACCTGTAGGAGGGGGAAACCCCCTCCCGCACTTACCCCCCTCTTCACTTCGTGACTCAGCCACCCGCCTACGGCTGCTGGACAACTAATACATGAAAAGGGCTAGTAGAAATTAGAAATGACTAGCCCTGCTGACAACTATGGTTTCAAAGTTAGTGTCGATCCCTGAATCATGACCCCGGGGGATAGGGCGGGGCAAAAATGGCTGAATAAACTTTTACATAGAAATATATAGGAAAATTCTTTAAAAATCTTCTTCTCAAGAATGACAAAGCCATAATTCATCATATATATATGGAAGCATGATCAGGTAGTGTAGTTTCAAGTTTGTTCAAATCATGACCCCCCGGGGTAGGGCGGGCCAAAATGGCCGACCAAAGTTTTACATAGAAATATATAGGAAAATTCTTTAAAAAATCTTCTCAAGAATGACAAAGCCATAATTCATCATATTTATATCGGAGCATGCTCAGGTATTGTAGATTCAAATTTGTTCAAATCATGACCCCCGGGGCAGGGCGGGGCCAAAATGGCCGACCAAACTTTTACATACAAATATATAGGAAAATTCTTTAAACATCTTCTCAAGAATGACAAAGCCATAATTCATCATATTTATATGGAAGCATGCTCAAGTAGTGTAGATTCAAATTTGAACAAATCATGACCCCCAATGGTAGGGCGGGGCCAAAATGGCCAACCAAAGTCTTTAAAGAAATATATAGGAAAATTCTTTAAAAATCATTTTCTAAAAAATAGCAAATCCATGATTGGTCATGGGACTACTTTTGGATTTAAACTTTACAATAAAAAGCCATTTTCTACTTTTTCTACCCTTAGTGCTCAGGTGAGCGATGTGGCCCATGGGCCTCTTGTAATTGCTTATCATGCTGTTGAGGCCTAGTTTAGTAGTTGTTAGTAAATTGTGCTAGAAAGAGTAAAATGTGGATTATCTTTTATGGGGACAAAGATATTGCATAGTATTTGGTACTAATTACTCATATCTTCACCCCATGTTGTTTATGTCCAAATGCATCTTAAATTTGTATCATCCTGTTTTTATTTCATTACTTGCCCAAAGTCATTTTCTACTGAGTTACAAATATGTGTGTCATGTAAATTAGCCAGATTGTAAATTTGCTTACTGGGGTTTGAAACTGAAAAAATGTCAAAAAAGGTTTCTGCGGGGAATTTTTTTAGTATACAGTAAATAAAAAGAAAACGCTAACTCTGTAGAAATACTTAATAAATCACATAATTGTTTGGTTAGTGTGTATCAAATGTTTTGACCCAATCCTCCCTGGACCTTGACTACAATCCAGCCATTCTGTCCTGGCACACAGACGTGATAGTTGGGATGATTATTTATGATAATAACACCTCCCTGGCTGTCAGCCGTACTTACTTTCACTAACTACTCCATCATCAGGCAACCTCTTAACCTGTCACAGGGACTGTTAATTATTTTGTATCACCTCCATATTGTCCACTGAATACCAAACAGCAATTATTAAGGTCTTCCGTTTCCAACGGAAGACCTTCTATTGATTCTGTTGGTAAAGATTATTATTCTTTTTTTTTAAGGTCTTCCGCTCAGGCGGAAGACCTTCTACTGATTCTGATGGTTAAGATTATTCCCTATTATTCTTTTTTTTCCTAGACGCCAACTTTGAGACCTCGTAACTCGCTCATTTCTGAACGGATTTCGCTCAAATTTTCAGAGTTTTTGGACGTTACAAAACTCAATTAAAATGTTTTCATACATTTCAAAAATTCCCTTCCGCTTTCGAGTTATTTCCCTTTAAGTGAAAATTTGGTACTGTTCGTTTCCAGACAAAGGCTCAGAAACGACAAAAGCTGGAGCAGAATGTCTACTGCATTTAAATACTAGAAGAATTGAAGTTGTGCACATCGGTTTTTCTTTTTCGATTTCTGCGCTCCAAACGGTGCTAGATAGGGGTCAAAAATGAGAATGCCTAAAAGCGCCAAATTTTACATATATTTCCTTGTGTATCTTTTAAACTAAAAATAATTTGTTAAGACATATTTCACAAATATTGTGCATAATTTTAAGATCTATCATTTGACATCATTAAAAAGGGGCTGGCCCCTCAAATTAGGGGTCAAGGGAGCATGAAAGTTTTTGCATTATAACTCAAAAACGGTAAATATTTTCAATATGGTTATCGATTTGAAATGGGTCTTTAACATCTTATTGATCTCATGAAAACGTTATTTTGTTCGAATCTTGTGTTATTGAATGAGCAGCAAACTTTATGTACAGGTAACTGATTAATTTTATACGGCAAGTGAAGAATTCTTTATGCGTACGCGTATAACACGTATAACTGAAATAAACTGGATAAGAATAATATACTTAACTAAACTGAATGTTAAACTTTGTTGAAATAAAGTTTTTAACGTATTCTCTAGCTGGATGTCATACAGATTATTCAGAGACAACTTTCTCCTTGTATTTCGTTTAAATTACAAGACGGGAGATGGGAAAAATACTTATCATCTCTCATTCGATTGATACTCAATGTTGCATTATTAAAAAAAAAAATCAAGCTTAAAATAATTCACTGTCATTTTATTCATGCATCGTGAATTTTCGTCGGACCTTGACTGCTTTGTTTACAGTTGTGCAACCTGTTTATCGATCGCGCATGCATTGACCTATATACATTCCGGAGGTCAACATTACCGCTCTTTGATTTTTACGCGAGTCCCAGTTATCTAAAACGATGCTAGTCATCGATTTACTCAGTTTAAAATCAAGAATTTGTTATTTGCGTAAATCGTAAGAATATTTCTAGACACAAATATAAAGATTTTCTTGAACATGTACGAGTATTTAAAGATAAAATGTCTGATTCTATTCTTTGACGAATGAATAAGAGGCGCTGCGATTTTGCTCAGGTACAGATGATTTCTCTGGACGAGTCCATCGGTTACACTGAAAGGTGACGCAGGATGACCTATCGATAACTCTGCCAATTTTGATAGTGATTGTAATTGCACATGTACATAAATTAATGTTTGAATTCTACCTTTGTGAAGTCCATTATAGTTTCGTTATTTAAAGAATCGGGGATATCACTACTACAACTTAATTGTTTTTAATTTGAACGGATGATTCTATATTATTGGAAAGGTACACATTTTTAGGCGCCGTCGTCTCCCTCTCAACTTTGAAGTAATTGCAATCGTTATATGTATACGGGCCTATATCAAGTTATTCTAATTGTTGCTTAATTTATTTCAGAAAAAATTGCGATGTTGTTTAAATTAGCAATTACAAATAAACATGACAAATGCACACAGTAAATTGTAAGTGGAAGTGATGTTTTCAATTCTCATGAAAATCGAAAATAAAATTAAGTAACTTTGAGTTTTGCATAATTTGCTACATAACTTATCATTGTATTTTTCCGAATGATATGCTCATAAATTTCTTTTATTCCCTCAAATAAAAAGCTAGAATATCACAATTAGAAATTCTTCTAACAAATGCAAAATTTCTTCCTGTAATTTCATACAAATATTCCAAGCCTTTCTTTCGTGTTTATTGGACTAAAAGAGATTAAATTATTAAATTTCCTCTCATTGCGATACGTAACCCCCTGAAATGATACAATGCTTTCCTTCAGAGTCGAGAATGGCAGGTCAGGGCTGGTGTTGAAATCCATGATTACTCCATAACCTATTTTAATATTAACCAAAAATCATACGCGATATTGTTTTTAATTCGCAGGTTGTCAAATAAATTTAAGAAAGGTCGGCAGAGATGAGTATGCCTCACTAAACTTTTTTATTCATAAACTTTTTAATTTCTAGAGTGTACAATCGAGCATCGAAGTGTGTACATGTACTACATGTACTAGTTTGTTTGTTTTTTTATGGGGGGGGGGGGGGGTTACCAGTTTTCGCTGCATTTGATTTCCTGAATTTTGCATTGCATTTCCGACAATTAAACAAAGTTAATAGAATATAATTGGTGACAGTAACACAAGTGATTTATAAAACGAAAGTCAAGCAATAAAACGTTAAAGTTTGTATTTTGAAAAATAAATCAAGTCAAGTCACATAAAACAAAGACAGGTTGAAACGCTCACACATGGACATACATACAAACGTTTTGGTAACTCGGAATAGTCCAGAGTAAAACTATATTTTCTTGATGACGGAATGTCCAGTACATCTAATGTTCACGTCCGGGATAGTTTACGGCAGTTTCATCACACATACGCAATTATCATACAAGTCGAACGCTCTGAGGTTGAGGATTGACACTAATTCCTTAGATAAATACTGAGTATCAAATTCCTTTTTACTGTCTTAACTTAACTTGATAGGTAAATAATTTTAGCATATGTTAAAAATAAGCATTAGAAATAATTCTTTTCATAAAATTCAATTCTGTTACATTTCAAATGAATTTGTAAAATTAATGACAATTGTCATGCTGCAGATCTGTAGCTCACTAGCTGTTCTAAAAAAAATTGAGATGGATCACCAGAGAGCTACAGTACCATCCATATTATCTCAAGTTCAGGCTCAGAAGGACTATTAAAAACGGTTGTAAGGAATGTTTAACTGTAGAAAAGTTTAAGGAATGTGTTAGAGACACACGGTAAATAATATTTTTAGATTCAAGCAGTTGAAAAACACGGATATTGAATATAGCTTCAGTACAATTTTTTTCTAATATTTTCTAGTTTTTTTATTCTTCGTATTTCTCAATTTATCATGTTCAAATAACGTGTATTTATTTTTATTAGGGCACATTAAACCTTATTTGTCAACCAGTCTGACAGTGTCCATCTGTCACGAGAACTTTAAACTTGATAATAACTATTGAATGAGTTGAAATAGGACTTTCATATTTCACATACATGTGCATTATTTGTGACATCTGATTTTCAAATATACTGTGATTTTTAACTCCGTGACCTTGATCTTGACCTACTTAAAAAATAACATTGCTTTAAATTGACCATAACTATTGAAAGCTTTCATTTTATAAACATGTACATGTAATACCTGTGTCAACGCCTTTGAAAATTCATTATGATTTTTGACCCTTTGACCTTGAAGTTTGACCCACTTTTCAAAAACATTTACCATAGTCATACCTTTTGAGAGAAAAGAGATCGATTAGGGCTTTTATTTTACCACTGTGAATTACCTGTAACAACATTTTTTTAAATACCGATACGCTGATTTTGACAACGTGACCTTGAGGCTTGACTTACTTTTCACAATTTTAATCTTGATCATAACTTTTGAATGAGAAGAGATAGGGTTTTCGTATTACACAAAAATCAAATGTATGTAACCTGTGATAAAATCATTTCAAATACTAGCATATAATGAACTTTGACCTTGAAGTTTAACCGGCTTTAAACATTGCTTAAAATTGACCATGACTTTTGATAAAGAAAGGATAACGCTTTCATACCTAGATTTACACATGTATACACGTATTAGCTGTGACAAGGCCTATCGAAAAAAGTATAGCTTAAGAATTCGTCAATACAGTAGCACACAAATGGCTTTGCTTATCACCAGCGTGTGTCATGGTGTGACGTAAGGTCATTTTAACAAGGTCAAGGTCGCAAACATTCCTTTACTATCTTTTTTAATAGTAAAACATAAATAAGATGACATCTACCCTTAAAAGATTGCTTTAACATTAGAACGTGGAATGACCTTGACCCAAGGTCATTTCTCCCTGTCCGCAGCTCCGACGGAAGACCTACTCGTTGCTTTGCAACGAGCTCGGCTCTAGTTTTCTTCTACTTCCTAAACGCCAACTTTGAGGCCTCATATCTCACTCATTTCTCAATAGATTTTGCTCAAATTTTCAGACATTATTGAAAGTAATGAACTCTATCAGAATGCTGTCTAACATTTTAAAAAATTACTTCCGCTTAGGAGTTATTTCCCTTTTTACGAAAAATTATAGACTTTCGTTTCCGGATAAAGGCTCAGAGACCACAAAAGCTGGAGCAAAAATTTTACTGGTTTTAGACAACAGAAGGATTGAAGTTGTGCACATCGGTTTTTGTTTTTCGATTTCTGTATTCAAAATGGCGCTATATAGGGGTCAAAAATTAGAACGCCCAAAAGAGCAAAAATTTACACATATTTTCCTTTTTATCTTGAAAACTAAAAATATTTTGTTAAGACATGTAGAACAAAAGTTGTGCATAATTGCAAGAGCTTTCATTTGATATCATTAAAAAGGGGCTGGCCCCTAAAATAAGGGATCTAGGGTCCTTTAAATTTTTTGCTTTATAACTCAAAAATGGTAAATATTTCGAAATGACTATCGATTATAAAATGTGCTTTAACATGTTACTGATCTCATGGAATTGTTATTTTGTTCGAATCTTGTTTTAATGAGCTAGATGCATGACCTATTTATGTACAGGTAATTCTTTTCACTCCGCACGTAAACGAGAGCTCCTCATGCGTGTATATAAAACAAACTTACTTTAAATAAAAAACATGACTACACTGGATGCTCATGTTCTTAAGAATAAAGTTCTTGAAGTGTTTTGTGCTTTTTTCCCCAAATTATCATGCTTTTTTACTGACAACTTTCTCTTTCATTTCATTTTTTTAAATCGTATAAACCAAGTCTACTAAAAAGGGAAGAAAAGATAATCTTTTCTTCTTATCACATAAAAACACACAATATACTGAGAAAATAAAACATTACTATAAAGCATATACTATTCACCACCATCAAGTGCACGCCTTTTATATTCACATTGTTTGTTTACAATTATATAACACGCCTCCCTCGATAGCGCGGGACAAAGTCGGTCACCGGGAATCAATCGGCGTGTGATCCAGCGACCCACAGTCATACACAAATAAAAACACAGAATGGTTAAATTCATTTTTTAAATATAATAGTGTTCCTTAATACTATCTCTGTCCTATGAAAATATTATTTTGTTTGAGTCTTACTTATTGTAGGAAAGAAAGCTAGACAGTTCTCATTTTGCTATTGAAGGAGAACTCTTTAAGCGTAGAATTGAAGTACACTTGCCGTAAGTGATAAATATTTTACTACGCTGTATCATATTTCTTTTTTAAGTTAGGTTTTAATTAAACGTGTTCTTTGGTTCCCGTTCAGAGTATACAATGGCATCATTTTCCTTTTATTAATCAAGATCTTTCCAAGAAAAAGAGTTATAGAAAAAAAGCACGAGCTCGAGTATCTTTTCCTCGTTTAAATATGACTACAAACAATATGAACGAAAACAATATACGCCCGGATCTCATAAAAAAAACAAAACTTTTTTAAGAGTCAAATAATACACAATTATTTACTGCGCGATTCTCACATTCACCTGGAATCCAGATTTTAAGTGTTTTACCATTACGTAATCTATCTTTCGATTATATGCGTCCGAGAAAATCAAAAGCGGCACACCGCGGCGAACCATTGACCCCGCAGTCATAGGCAAAATAATTGGTATATTAAAACATTAAAACCATTTTTCAACATGACAATTAATGGAAAATTATTATTTGAGATTAATATGTTGGTTTATCTTTGTTTTAAATTTGATCGTGATACATGTTTATCTAAAACAGCTAACTAGGTTTTGTGTTTGTTTACAATTACGCGACCAACAATTCCTTCCATCGTTTGTTGAAATTAATTTAGACTGCGTGGTCGCATGTTAAATCTAATTTTACCAACTTACGGGAAAACCTTATTTTCTTTGAGTGAGTCGAATCTTTCAAAAATATCTTAAGATATCTTAGGTTTGACCTTAGTACAAAACGCTGGGGCATTTATTTTACATGTACATTAATCAGTCTTCAATTGTTAAAGTTCGTTAGCTCCATGTGTAATTTTACTTTTCATTTTGACCATTCATAGCGTAAGGACTGGCAAACTGTGGTTACTTTACTTCAACCAATATTGATTTCAATGTACAAGCTTTGCGCTTTTAACACACAAATAAATCCTTTTTCAACACACATTTTTCCAAACACATTTTTTTTCATCACAGATTTTTACCATGGCTATACCAGTTTTGAACTTTTAAAGAGAATCTTCCGAATCATAAGAATCTATTTAGAAATAAGAATTATACTCAATGAAATGGATTAAACATCGATAAGTATCTCCGGAACGTGTAAACTTCATAAGTGACTTCTGTGGTGCACAATGCCTTTTTAGCTCACCTGAGCCAAAGGCTCAAGTGAGCTTTTCTGATCACAATTTGTCCGTTGTCTGTCGTTGTCGGCGTTGTCGTCGTCGTCGTCGTTGTCGGCGTTGTCGTTGTCGTAAACTTTTCACATTTTCATCTTCTTCTCAAGAACCACTGGGCCAATTTCAATTAAACTTGGCACAAAGTATCCTTGGGTGAAGGGGATTCAAGTTTGTTCAAATGAAGGGCCACGCCCTTTTCCAAGGGGAGATAATCATGATTTAGAGAAAAATTATTGGCATTCTTAAAAAATTTCTCCTCAAGAACCACTGGGCCAGGAAAGATGAAACTCATGTGGAATCATCCTCAGGTAGTGTAGATTCAAGTTTGTTCAATTCATGACCCCCGGGGGTAGGGCGGGGCCAAAATGGCCGATCAAAGTTTTACATAGGAATATATAGAACAAATCTTTAAAAATCTTCTTCTCAAGAACCACTGGGCCAGGAAAGATGAAACTCATGTGGAAAAACATTGTTCAGGTAGTGTAGATTCAAGTTTGTTCAAGTCATGACCCCCGGGGGTAGGGCGGGGCCAAAATGGCCGATCAAAGTTTTACATAGGAATATATAGGAAAAATCTTTATAAATCTTCTTCTCAAGAACCACTGGGCCAGGAAAAATGAAACTTATGTGGTATCATCCTGAGGTAGTGTAGATTTAAGTTTGTTCAAGTCATGACCCACTTAGGGCGGGGCCAAAATGGCCGATCAAAGTTTTACATAGGAATATATAGGAAAAATCATTAAAAATCTTCTTCTCAAGAACCACTGGGCCAGGAAAGATGAAACTCATGTGGAATCATCCTCAGGTAGTGTAGATTCAAGTTTGTTCAAGTCATGACCCCCGGGGGTAGGGCGGGGCCAAAATGGCCGATCAAAGTTTTACATAGGAATATATAGGAAAAATCTTAAAAAATCTTCTTCTTAGAACCATTGAAACAGGAAAGATGAAACTCATGTGGAATCATCCTCAGGTAGTGTAGATTCAAGTTTGTTCAAGTCATGACCCCCGGGGGTAGGGCGGGGCCAAAATGGCCGATCAAAGTTTTACATAGGAATATATAGGAAAAATCTTAAAAAATCTTCTTCTCAAGAACCATTGAAACAGGAAAGATGAAACTCATGTGAAATTATCCTCAGGTAGAGTAGATTCAAGTTTGTTCAAGTCATGACCCCCGGGGGTAGGGTGGGGCCAAAATGGCCGATCAAATTTTTACATAGGAATATATAGGAAAAATCTTTAAAAATCTTCTTTTCAAGTACTTCAAAGCCAGGATTAGTAATATTTGTATGGAATCATCCTCAGGTAATGTAGATTCTAGTTCGTTCAAATTATGATCCCCTTGGGGGTTAAAATTCAACCCCCCCCCCCAACTTAAATTAACTTTCAGTTCTGATCTTTTTTCCTAGCTGATGTGCTCAGGTGAGCGTTGTGGCCCCTGGGCCTCTTGTTATATTACAGGTTGAATAGAAAAGTTGAAAAAAATAATTCAAGATTTTAAAGCAATGAATTCAATTTGTTTTATAATTTATTCAAAACCCGTAAATGATTAGTATAGTGTGCTAACATTGTAATAATTTTATTTTGTTCCGTTATTTTAAAAAAATCAGTAGCAGGTTATACAATGATCATGTAAGTAGTGTATATCCAAAATCGAAAATGTAAGAACTTATATAACAATCTGCAGCTACTGAATATTACAGACTTATCATGTAATTACACACTTTTATGACCTAATTTAAACTGTTAACCGTCATAACCAACATAATAGTCAAACATTAATTGTCCTATAATCAGCGCTTAGGGCCTTTGAACAGGGAGGGATCTTTTTTTGTGCCAGCACCTAAAGCGACACAGTACGTGTTTTATGCGGTCTCTTCGGAAGGACAGGTCCCCATGTCCCACAGTGGGATTCGAAACCACGACGTAAGGATCAACTCCTTACTTCGCGACTATAGAGCAGACGCTCTAATCACGGCGACCGTGGGGGATGTAAAATGAAGAAAACGGTTAGTAAAAATAAGAACGGGTTGTTTTAAAATATTATTCTTACGAACTACAGGGCAAGAATGAGAAACCATATTTATTAAAGCTTCCTGATATAAAAAAGATTACTTTTTTTCAAATCATGACTAGAGTTTTCCCTTGCAAAGTGATTGTGTATTTTGGGGGTTAGTGTGGATGGGATGGAAATTAAACTGTCTGTTTAACTGTCCATATGTCTGTCTGTCCCTCAAAGTTTTTCCCAGAGGGCCAGGCTATAACATAAAGAAACCGGAAGCTCGTAATCGATTTCAAATGATCCTAGGATGTGTCATTGTATTTATTCAAGGCAATATTACGGCAAATTCAAGGTCACTGGAGAAATAATTAATGTTTTGTTGCAATCATTTATATGTAATCGAGGATATCTGTAAGCTCATACTTGATATAGAGATAGCTTGCGACAAAAGTTTTTTTTTACGATTTTGACTCAAAAAATAGTATCATTTCAATCTGGACTATATTTGTTCATACTTGATACAGAATGCGTATAGTCCGCCGGTTTCAGACGACTAAAATAAGGTCATTTTAAGAAATTCAGGGCCAATGACAGAAAAGTTATAAAATTCCTGTCAGGGTTATTAATTTCTAATCACCAAAAGTTGTTTCAGATTTAGGGTTTATTTTGACAAAGAGCCAAGGTTATTCTGTTAAATCAAGGTCACTGACAGAAGAATTTTTATTCCACGTTATGAACTAGTAAATGGAAATCATTGGAGGCTTACTTGAAACATAGATTACTTATGATTGGAGGGTTGTGTCATGACCCTGATCAAAGGTCTTTTTGGCAAATCAAGGTCACTAACAGAGAAAAATGTTTAAGCATAACTTTGTAATTAATATTCACTGGAGGCTCATGCTGAGAAGAAACGTTGTTCACATAAGACATTGCAGTGACCTTGACCCAAGGTCAGTACTTCCAGTCCACAGCTCCAACGGAAGACCTACTCGTTGCTTTGCAACGAGCTCGGCTCTAGTTTTGCCACATACTTCTTTGAAAGTTGTACATACATATATAACTACATACCTTAACCATATAATTGCCTAGTGTGAAAGACTGCAGGAATCTTTTCTTTCTTTTATTTTAATTTTACATGTAATAAAGCTTTAGTTTGAGCAATGTATGGGCAAATTATTTTATAAATAAAAAATGACAGAATTATAAATTCTTAAGCATAAATGATGCTTTTCTGTGAAAGAAGTTATATGTATTAATATGAAGGAAAAACCTACGAAGTTTTTTGCCCTCATCCATCAAGTTGTTTACAACTTATTTTAATGTTAGCGTCTCAGATGCAATTTTCTAGCACATTAAATTGCACTTATGATTTGATTTAGAGAAAAAAAGCCTGCATTTTCTTCAGTGTCACTGTAACTGAAACTCAGCTTTTATCAAATTCTCTCAACTTCAACCTCTGTTAGTAGGAGCTGATTTGTCTCCCTTTGATGTTTATCTAGATTTCAGCCCCCTGCAGACAAACCCCATCCCAGAAATGAGTCGCATCCACCTACATAATTAATGGGGGCTTAGTCCGTCGTTTGTCTTCGGTGGTGTGTTGCAGTGGCCCAAGGGCCCCACTGGTGTATTTTGGAGTGTGGTGCATGTACATTTGAATAATTATGTCACAAGTCATATGTATGAATACGGCTTCCACAGTTGTTTATTTGGAGGCAGGATAAGGGAAAATAGTTCGAATACTTCAAACAATATCCAACAGACATAACATTCATGCTCTTTAGGACTATTAGCATAAATCCTTTTTTTTTTTACCAAGACCTTTAATTTGTATGATGTGTTGAGGAATGCAGGCTTAATTTTTGTGTTCACTGGTGTGCTTAAAAACACAATTCATCTTATTTTAGAAATTTCCTATGTAGGGTGACAGTGTCTTTGGCATTGTGGCCCTAAGTGAAAGTCAGGCCACACAAATTTCTTTTCAAATTAAGTCACCTACCAGAAAATTCACACTGTTTCTTTTCATCTTTCATGTTCATTGCCCATGGCACGAATTCATACTTTGAATTATTACGTATGAAACATCACTTTTGAATGGAATTAATTGTGCATACTTCTAATTATGTATCCTTATTAACATTTATCATGATTAATAAACGTTAAAGAGTGGAAAACTGGCAAGTGATATGTGAAGAGGTCAGATTTAAGTTCCACTTTTATCTCATAAATAAGGAACATTTCACACACAAACAACAAGAAATACGCAGAATTATAAATTTATCACGAGTCATTTATTATAATAAACTAAATTATTGTTTACACACTTCTGGGTTTATTTTATTAGATATTAATGTTATGTAATAAAAAAGTCTTATTTTTTATGCTGGATTTAGTATTCCATTTATTATTAGATGTTTCTCAAGGATATTGAAACATTTTTTATTGGGCATAGATCTTGACTGCAGTTAGGAAATGCACTAAAATCCAGGGAACTGTAAACCAACTTTTATTCGCGACGACTTAAATTTCGGGATTTACCGGGGCAAACTAGTTCGCAACAATTAATTTTCACGATCAAGCGTTTTTTGATATGTTGTTAATAGAAAGAGAGATTTAAGGACCCGTTCGCGGTGAGAAATATTCGCGAACCTTGCGAAAATTTATCGCACGCGAATAAAAGTTGGTTTACACTTTACAGTATTCAAGACATCAATGCTTGAGATATATGTATGTATAATCACAGGAGTTCGCGTACCTATCAATTTTACCGAAATTTTCAGTAAATAAAAAAGATACGTAGTACGTATAATAATAACACAAGGAGTGCAACGCATTTTAGGTCACCTGGGTACCCCTCGCTTAATATCAAGGCTGTCGCACAATTAATCTTCAATCGAAAATTATAAAACACAAACCAATCTTTTTGGAAAGGACCATTCTTTATGGCTCCTAATGCATAAGATTTCAAACTCATGTTTAACAGCAGCAGCGGTGACATTTCTCCACAACTTCGCTCAAATATCCGTTGTCCGCGACGCCATGACGTGACGTCACGGGCGCGTCCATTTACCCAAAAAGGAACAAAACTGCCTGAAATGCTAATCTAGATGATTGAGGTCATATGCGAAAATAAACCAGAGACAAGTTAGTAGACATTCAAGAAAATTTAAAACGGGGAGGTACAAGTACTTGTACTCGTATCTAAACGTAATATCGTTATCTCTAGTTAATTGTGTATGATTGTTTATTTTTGTTCCTTTTGGGTAAATGGACCGCCCGTGACGTCACGTCATGGCGTCGCGGACAACCGTTGCACTCCTTGTGTTATTATTATAGGTATTTCGTATTTTTTTTATTTACTGAAAATTTCGGTAAAATTGATAGGTACGCGAACTCCTGTGGTATAATTTAATACTTTTTTACAGCCTCTTGTTGGAGTTACAAGGGGACACAACTGCTGCAATAGAGGCCTATGAGACAATGCTAGGCTCCATGGTAACAGCCTCTGACCTTACAGAAGTTTGGTGCAGGTAAACATGTTACCTATCTGTACTCTGATATTCTTAGAAATGGAAACATGCAAGTTCTTAAAATGGAACAAATGCACTCTTAGCACATTTTGGTGGTCATTGACCTGAAAGCAAGGAAATTTCAGTCACAGTGCAATATTTTTGAATTGGTTTAACACTTCAAATTTAGTATTTAAGACCAGATTTAGACAGAATGTTCAGAAATCAAGGCTTTTGCAGTGAATCTTCAGAAACTTGGCAGACTTTCAGTGTTCAATTATGGAATAAAAGTGCAAGAATTTTAATGAAAAATGTAAATAAAAATGTTTTAATTTGGGTTGCTGTCACTTAGGACAGGGTTTTAAAGCATTGCATCTCATAAAAGTTGTCATAGAAATTCATGTGCCCTGATTTAGATTTTATGATCAAATTTTTCATCTTTGTAACATTCATTAGAGAGAGGGGAAACATTGTCAGAACAGTTATACTTTGTTCTTCTTGTATCATGTTTGACCTTTCACCCGCACTACAATAAAATTTTGTTGACAACTTCAGAAATTCATTACAGAACATTTAGGTATGCATATGGAGATTCTTTAATGTGAGTTTGGTTTTGTCTTTGTCAAGCTTACAACAAAGGATGTAGAGAAAACATTAAAAATAGTAGAAGAATTTAACAAGATGTAGTACTTCTGTCAGGCAGGAGCAGGAAAATATAGTACTTCTGTCTAAGAGAAGCAGGACTGGGGTTGTTTGTTGTTTATCTAATGTGTCTATTAATCAGGTCCACTTGTTACACGAGGGCTGGGCTTCCTTTTTCTGTGCTTTGACAGTGTAAGGGGTTCAGATTTATGGCTCGACTTGAACCAGGCAGAGAGTTCAACAGTCTTCATGCATCTCATTCACGAACTGCAAAGAAATTGATTCATAGGAAATGTTGTAACAAGGCCATAAAACAGTTGCTGAACTTTTCTTACAATCATTCATAGTCAAAACATGAACAACATCTTACTTCTAGCTTTCAACTTGAGACATGGTATCTATGTTTCACCATGTTCTGTGCACATTAAACATGGCTGGTTATGTGTTTTACTGTCTGTGTTACATTGTTGTATTGAAATTAATGGTAATCCTGGTATTTAGTTTGACCTGATTAAGTAGAGGAACTCCGTTTTTAAGTTTTACCGAATTGCAAATTATAAATTGCTCTTTCCCTTCCTTACCACCAGATACCTGGCCTTCTGTCAGCGACTCATCAACGACAAGGAAATGGTCTCCATGGGAGCAAAGACTTACATGAATTTGTTCAATCGGGCTTTATCCTCTATTCCCACTGTCTTTGACACCCCTCATTCTGTTGGATCCACCTGGCTGAACTACCATCATGTCAACAGAGTGATTGACCTGTTCATCAGCAGTATTCCAAGAGATGAACGCTTGACTGAGTATCAGATTATTCTGGAGAAAATGCCCCTAAATGTGGAGTTACTGATACGGTAGACATATAACATCATCTTCTGTAAAGCATTAACTTCAATATCAGGGTAAAGCAGTCCTATCTTTGAAATTTATCTGCATATTAAAACAATCACATATTTATGTGTATTTAAATCTAAGCAAAAGCCTGAACATTTCAGTAAGCTTTATTTTTACAATAGATGTTTTTGGATCTAACAAGTATCCTTGTTCATTCCGGAAGTTAAAAAAATCTCACACACATTTCTTTCATTGGTTATACATGTAGTATGATTTTCTAACTTTTTTGTCATAAATGCATGGATGAAAGGGGATGTTGTTATCTTCATTTTCATGTAGTTCTTCCATCAAGATTATTGAAATTAGAAAATTCCTACAGTACTTTTCAAAAATACACACCCCTGCATGAATATATCCTATGCCGTAATTTGTCTCATGGTGTCAGTAGCTCTGTTTATTTGGTGGTGGTACAGGGTGTGTCAAGAGGCGATCCAGAGTGAGAAATTCTACCAGGCTAAGACCCTCTGCACCATGGCAGTCATCGAGAAAGTTGGCAACCCGGCACTATGGAAGATGTAAGTCTAAACAAACACAGCGAAAAGGTAAGTTACGTCTTACCGCGTCTGTTTTCTGTAGAAACATCATTTATGTTGTCTAACTTGTGTTTTTTTCCTAATATATTTTTAAAATCTTATGGATTAAAGATACTTTTGTAAACACCCTCACCTCCCTTTCTTTTCCATAAATAGATTTATGCTAAAATGGAAAGCAATTTGAAAATAATTTGAAAATAAGTCTTCTTGGTTTATTGCGTCTTATTTCAGTGTAACAACTACGCATTTAATCTTTTTCTAAAAGTTTCCTTGATTCTTTGAAAGATTCTTGATTATCTGTGATTTTGAAGAGTTTCCATAGAATTAGAATGATGACCTTTTTTGATAGGAATTGACACATTTATCCAAACTAAACTAATATTGCTTTATACAAGCTAAGTTATAAATAGTAGAATGGAAATATGATAATATTTCAATGCTTATATCCTTTTAATTTTATGGATCATATTCCGTAGTGACAGAGAAAGAAATAAGCTTGTTGCCTCTTGGATAGTGTTGAGTTACAAAAGGCATTATGGATGAAGTTCCGGCACCTCCAATTATCAAACAAATAACGTGTAAACCATCACTTTGTAGTGCTAGGTATCCAACAAGCTTTAGGTGTCCCTTGAATTAGATTCATCTTGTGAATTCTGATAGTGAGAAGCTTGTCAACACGGAACAAATGTGTTAAGTAAATGTGGTGAAGTTTTCTCAGAAGCAGGTAGAGGGCCGTTTAGGTTGACTTGGCCTTGTTCTCTTTGTAGGGCGATATCCTTGAGCCTGAAACTAGAAAACGTGGCAGAGGTATGTGAATATCAGTAGATGAAGGTAACTTTTCAGTGTTTTCCAGGTGAACTTTGACACCTCACCTGAGTTATAATTGGATATTTTTAAAAAGACAATTTACACAGTGCATTTTAAAAAAAAAAATGATAAACTGAAAATGCATCATCATTGTGCTCTTATTTTGATATTTTTCCAAATATTTTCTGTGTAAAAGTAAATTGATATGTAAAATGAGGTTGAGTTGTATGTGATTTTATGTAATGTAACCTTGAAGCAGCATCCTGATATTTGTTTACAAAGGTATGTTGTTCTTTATCTATATTGATATTTCATACAAGTAGTGAACTATTCCAAGTACTTTTCACAAATTTCCCACATTTATAAAGTATCTTGATTTCATTAGTTGTAATTGTACACATTAAAGGAGCATGATTGAATTTGGTACATAAACTACATTTTGTGTAAAATAGTAAATGTGGTAACCCATTTTCTTTTCAGACCAGAAGACTCTATCATAAGGCTGTCCAATTCCATCCATACCATGTGACCTTTTGGAAAGATGTAAAATCTTACCTTTATATTTTTTCTTCATTTTTTAACCTTTGAATCTTTATCGATATTGAGTTCCGAAAAAAGAAAGATTATATCTTTTGATATGTTCCCTCTGTCAAGGTTCTTGAATTTTCTACTTTCAGTTTTTGCTGTTTGAGATCACACATGGGTCCTGTGCCATGGTACCTAGAATTCAGAAGCGTTGCCAAGAGCTGGGGTTGGATATCGAGGAATATTCCCAGTTTTTAACAAAATATACTAAAACTCCACCTTGATAAAGTGGAGTGATAGAAGAAAACAGATATTTGAATTCACATTTATAGAAATCACAAAGAAAAAAAAATCATGTATCGCGATTCCTTGAACATCTCGCCACAAGTATCGTAAGTATAGCAAGCCCTAAACATGGAATTTCTTGTAAAATCAAAGTGGTCTTTGACTAAGAGCTTTAGTGCCTAAAGTATTAAAATGCACATCCAAAAAGTGCAGAACGTTTTCCCCCAAACATGTTAAGGGCTTGTGCTTTCTTTTTTTTTCTTGGGATGTTGTGTGCTTATTTTAATATTGTGTCTGTTACAACCAAGTTCCAAGGATGACCCTTGACCTTCAGTGCGGAGGGCCATGACTTTTGGTCTGTCCTGCTTGGGGAAAGTACCAGAAGATATACAGAGTGAACTAACTTGATAAAAAAAAAAATTGAAGAGACTGAAAATAGAATTTATTATGTCTTTCTGTTTATGAAATGTATCTTTTTATCAAACATGTATGCTTCAACACATTTTGTTTTAATGAAAAAAAAAAATTATTTGAAGGTATTTTTATGATGATTTAAATACCCATATTTCGAATGATTTAGCGAATCATAAACTACTTAATTTTTTGGTATTTTCCGTAATATTTTTTTTGTCAGATTCTGTAAAGGTTTTGGAAGTTGTTGGAGGGTATTTTGATATTACGTATGTTGAGGTATACATGTGTGATCAGATTGAATTGTTGTGAATGAAGATGTTGTTATTTGTTATAAACTTTTATTACTTCTACAATCATTTTTGGATGATCTTATGTGAAATGAATAAATGTTTATTAATTACTTGTTTCTTCTGTTTTTATTATGAAAGGTTGAAAAGGGCTCAATCTCTTTGTAAGAACTTTATAATGCATGTATATAGAGAGGTGACCATTTTGAACTGAGAATTTTATGGAATTAAGGTCAGTTATGATGGAGTTAATTAGTGCAGATTCAATGAAGTAAGGAGTGCAGATTCAATGAAGTAAGGAGTGCAGATTCAATGAAGTAAGGGCTGTCTTTATATGTGATGACAAGCCAGACCTTTTGGTTAGAGCCGTGGCCATAATTTATGAATGGTATGGTGTATAGTTCAAGAAGTTTGTCATCAAAAGGAATTGCACAAAATGTTTCAAACCTTGGATCAAATTTCAGCTCTTTGGATAGTATGTAATGATGAATTAGATTTCTGTCATGAAATTTTTTGAAGCTGAAAGCTTTATTTTATTAAAATGCTAAATTTTTATCTTATTTGAAAAATTATGTGCCACATTATGGATATTTCTATATCTTGGCAATGAGTTCACAGCAGAGGGTTTGACTGATTGGCAGGGGATGCTCACTCCTCCATGGCACCTGATCCCACCTCTGATGTTTCAGAGGCCCATATTTACACTGCTCCTGATTTGTATTCCTTGAATGGACTCTTGAGGGGTTTTTTTATCAGTCTTATATGATAGCTAAACTGGCCATTTATCAGGAAAAGTGTAAGTGTGCATACTAAATCTAAGAGATTTTTTTTTAATGTGTGGTCTATGAAATATGGATACTGATTGTTATATCACAGACCAGAAGTTTTAAAAAGCCTTCAGATTTAGCTGCATCCTGACACTTTCCCCAGTAAATGGCCAGTTTAGTATATAAGGATTTTTGAGAAAAAAAAAGGACTGGATTATATAGATTAATTGGAGTGTGTTCTCAAATGAAGGGGGGGATATAAACATGTATTTAGTAATCAAAATGCTTTGAACTATAAGAAAAAATGTATCTGACAGTAACAAGCATTGAAATGGATAGTAGCAGATCACAATAGAGACTGAAAATAATATCAAAAGTGTAATTTACACGTCAGTTGCTGTTCTTTAAATGTATAATGAACATTAAATCCATGGGACTGTATCTACTAACAAGTAAATGAAATATGAAGCAACAAGGCTTGACTAAGAACTGTGAAATATGTTAACTGGCGAAACAGCAGCTGGAACGTGTTTGGCTTGTCTTGTGGTTTTAGGATCAGAGAAACCCAGGACAGTAATAAATGTCCGTATTGACCCGAAAGTAGCTAATGTCGCCAATTATGCCATTTCAAGTAGTATTTTTAAGCTTCTTAAATGAAGATTATAATAATTTTACATTACATCGCAATTAGTTACTTATGTTTATGTGTGTGTGTTTTTTTCTGCTAATTTGTCTTGAAATATTCTATGGAATACAGTCACATATATACAAGTTCCAACAGTTTAATGAATTTTGATGGGGGCGATGGGTCGACATGTCTATCAACCAAACGATTTGTAATTTTATTTATTCACAATGAACACTATACAAGAAAGCTTTATTATTTAAAATGACCACTCACTAAATTATGAATGGTCATTCCTGATTTTGGATTTCTATCTCTAACTTTGAACAATTTAATATAAAAAGGGCCCACTCCAAAGAAAACAACTATTTGGGCTTAATATACTACGATGTGTGATTTATGAATGGAATAAATTACCTGGTCATGTTTAATCTTTAAATCCATTTTTAAACAAAAATATCTATGTTAGGGACGTGTCTACTTCCAATGACAGCTCCCTGTTTGCTTCAGGTCAACAAGAATAAGAAGCGACCTCTTCATTTTTTCCTGAATGAAAACACCCATGTATATAAAATGTGTCGCAATTTGGAAATTTACTTAAGAGGGGACATTACCCATCCTAGATCAATCGTGGACATCTTTTGAGAGCTTTGAAAAGATAAGCATTGAAATTCAGAAGACATTTCTAAACAAATAGAAAATGACTTTTTCTTGCAATTGCAAGTCCATCTTGCTGCGATCCCATTTTGCTGTGGGTAAATTTCACAGCGTTTTAGATCCTTTTATTTTTTATTGTCATGTCCTAGGGAGGTGAAATTGTTCATTATAGTCTTTATAGGCTTAAAAGAATTTGTCGAATATGATTGTTAACATTAATGAAGACGAAGAATAAAGGGGCGTTTCCGGTAAGAAGATGAAGCGCCAGAAATCACTTCGAACACACTCGATGGTGTGATAATGGCGGTAATTAGCCCAGTCAGTGGAATTATAAACAATAAGGACGGTTAAATGTGACATTTTGACCAAACAGAGACAGTTCAGTTGTCTGTGGACCTGGGTAACCTGTCCTTTCAATAATCAGATCATATAACGAATCTAATTATAGTGCGATAGATTCCATATTAGGTCGCTGTATGACTTTACATTCGCCTGGTCTTCGAAAAGTACACTCGACCTTGTATCCAAGGAGGGTTTGGAGTGTCAACGATCGATGGATTTTTAAGTAATAAAACAGACATAAAAATTGACATGCATACAACAGAGAAATCACATGGCATGATGTGTATGTTAAAGGAGAGAGACCAAAAACTGCTTTTCGTCTAGCCGTTCCTCAAATATACCATTAACCCAGAAGCACAGAAAAAGTCACTACTCCTACCCTCTGTATTTGTCATATAAGTCCGCTGTAAGCGATGTCTCCATGATGAATTAAGCTATTTGATATTTACAGTGTTTTCAACACTTTAAACATAATTGTTAACAACTTGGGCCCTCGGGTTGAAGAAAGTTGCTTTATATCGTGGTACTTGTAAATGCACGTGCACGCTCGACAGGCAATAAATGTCAATGACAATAATTCGTAAAACACTGATCTCCATATTAAAATATTTATGATTTATACGAATACAGCGATCTAGCAACAAGTTACCATTCCATATTACAATCACAGTTACTATAACGTAGAATTACATGTACTCTCAAAGTTTAAATAATTTCTTTCTTGTTTAACAAATCAAGTTTTTACGGAAGCCCTGGAGGGACATTGACTTATTTGTTATAAATTATTTGTTATAACTTATTTGTTTTGACTTATTTGTTTTGAGATTTTTTTTAATCAGTTCTAACTTAGTGTAGGTAAGCTATTGAGCACGATTAATTGTTGTTTTTGTGTCAAATGTACAAAACTGATGTGATTACTAAATTTTTATTTGTTTATTACTTACGCCCTTGAGGGATATTGACTTATTTCTTATGTGTTTTGACTTAGTTCTTATTCTTATGACTTAACTTTGAATTCTAAAATTTGTTATGACAAGCAAAAAGTGGCGTGAAAGAAAAAAAAAGTTTCAGAAAAAAGAAAAAAAATGAAAATTAAACGACAAGATAAAATAGTAGTCATGTTCTTGTCTTCAATCATTATGCAAGCTGGAAGTTACATATAAGAATTGAGTAATAACTTTTAGGAAATAAGAATTAAGTTAAAACAACAAAAATAATATTTACTTTAGAAATCACAACTGTACTGGACGTTAAACTAAAATTCGTCAATCAAAAACCACAGTTAAAATAGGACTTAACATTATTTTTATTATAAAATTAAGCCAAGCAACGGGTTTCAATTGCCTTCTTACACTTAGTTATCTCTAGCTACGAAACATTCACAACAAATAAGTTAAAACAAAAAAGTTATAATAAATAAGTCATAACAAGTAAGTCAATGTCCCTCCAGGGCTTCCGTAAGTTTTGGTTCTCCTTCTCTGTTTCAGCTTCTCTTTCGCATTCTTCTTTGACTATTGAAAGTATGTCTTTAAAGCAATTCGTCTATAATGTAAAATCTGAAAGAAAGTAAGAAAATATAAGTACGTGCGTGTACACTGTACATACATTTCTTTTTTTTTTTTTTTTTTTTCAATTGACCAAAATGATTTTTTTTTTTAAAACAGTTCGATCATAGATAAAGTTTAATGTTAACTAAGGGTACGAATTCAACGAAACGCAATGTATGAATTAAACAGCTAGAGCCGACATGGAAATTGTACTTTCATTTTTATGATGCTCAAATAAACAAGTATCAAACTAAGTTAGTATTCCAACAATTTCTTAATGACGATAAAATTTAAATCAGACATATAT